AAATTGATGTTAAATTGGTTTAGATATTTTATTTATTTTTTTAACAGGTGTCTCTCTCTCTCTCTCTCTCTCTCTCTCTCTCTCTCTCTCCTTCAACATTGTAATCTTTGGCAAAAGGCTTTCCGGCCGATCGATCACCATATCCCATTGCCATGTTTTCGCCAGCGGCGCCCCTGGCGACCAAGAACCCCGGCTCTCGGAGATCCACCGAGTGCTGTGCCGCGCCCGTCGCTCCCGGCAGGGGGTTTCTTCTTCTTTGATTTGATCTCGCGAAACGTTACACTTCTCGATCTCCGAAATCTGGGTAGCGTTTCACCTGGCAACTTTCTCCAACGCCCTGAACTACGTGAGTTCCTCTAAGGTTTCCAATCTATTCGATAGATGTGCGTTTCTTTTCTGCGGATTCCGTTGGTTTCAACCCGAGATATGCTAAAGTTGCGATTTTCTCGTCAGCACTTTTTGATTCGCTGGAAGACAATCCTGACATGCCATGCGAGTTCGGCGAAGCACATAGGAAAAGAGTGCGACATATGTTTCCATTTCTTGGATTTCCTTTAGCAATGTCGATTAATGAAAATTCGAATTCGGGTACGTGACGTGCTTACTGTACTGATGTTGTTCAGTTCTTTGTTTCCTACTGCTTCTTGATTGGTCTTCGCGTTGTAGTTTGTCCTCTGAACTGCCATGGCCATCTAGGTATCTTTCACGAATCAAAAGTTCTTGATTTGGGCTCATATCTTTGGATGATTAGGTCCATTGCAGCATAAACTGCAAGACAAATTGACAGCTTGGCTAGTCCTGATTCTGTACACTGCTGATAAATGACATTTAGAGGAAACATAATATCAGCCTGCTGTGGCCTGTCTAGGTTCATACCAGGTCCATCAGTATTATGAATGTCTATTTCTAAGATAATATCAATGATATTATCTTGTCGATATGGGGTTGCTTTCATGTCTCTAGTCACCTAAGTAGGCAATTTCAATTGTGAATTCTTGATTCAAATTTAACAATAATACTACCTTTTTTGTACTTTAAGCTTTTCAAAGATTATATTGAACTGCATGTATATAGGTCTAAGAGACCTATATTCAAACTACAAGCAATCTGTCATTTTTCCCCTATTGGATCCTCAGAGCAACAACATGATAGATGGCTACCATTTTCTGCAATGAATGTGGTATCTATAATGGTACGTACTTGTGTATTAGTCTTTCCTCTATCCAAGGGGTTACCTATTTGTAGTTATCTAATATTTCTAATATGTTATCCAGACTGTTCATCTCTTATAATGAGTGTCACCGTTTTGCCAATTTATTACAAGTGTCTGGTTTTTCCTTCTCTATTCCCTAACTGTCAGAGAAGAAATACTTTTATATATTTTCTTACAAGTTGAAACCTAATAATGAAATTCCATTGAATAATAAATGTTTCACGTGGGTACTTTCAAAAATCTGCTAATTGTTGATTTGGTATCATCTATTCAAAAGCTAGTTTGATGTATGAAACTATAAATATGAATTGTGAAGACCTTGTGAATTATAGGAGAAAACTCTCTATCCTTCTTTTCTTGTGCATGTGGAAGCATGATGAATTAAGCCTGCCGACCCTGATTTGATAGAGTAGATAGAATAAGGTTAACCATATGTTGAGGCACATCCATAATTATCTAAAGCAAGTCTTCATCTCTTTCATACTCTGAGTGAACTCTATGCAAATGATAACTTTTAGTACGATAAAGAGATCATAATCATGGTGTAATTGCACAATTTGCAAATGTTATATTAGTACCCCTTCCATTCTTCTCAATAAATATGTGGATCAAATACTCTGTCGGCTCCTTCATAAAAATTTGAACACAGAACATCTTTTAGTGAAGTGTAAAATGACCTGAATAAGGCTTTAAGTACCACTTCATTATTCGCTAAGCACTTCATGTCTTCTATCTGTTCCAATCAGATCATTCACATTATGATGGTTGTGAAGCTGCAAGAACAAACACTCATCGGTGGCTTCTGTTTGTGATGCTTTGATGTAAAGGGGATCATGTCATCGTCACTTATTTCTTGCCTTTGTTTTCTGATTCTCTGTAGCTTTAGAAGTAAAAGAAATCCCTATGTTGATACAAGATGCAGCTAATCAAACTATTAGCTGGGATATAAGACCTATAACAAGCTTAAGTTGTATGGAATTAGGGTTCCTGTTCCACTAGGACTCATGATGGGAGCCATCTAATTAGTCTGTTAATATAGAGACCAAAGTGGTTAACTAACTAGAAAGGAGTGGATGATGATATGCAATGAAGAAACACACTAGACAAATTGCAGAGGAGGTCTTGTCTATCAACGTAAGCATCTATGGCGTACACTTGAAGTTCATTGTCATCTTGTGACATGGTTACTAGTCTTCTAAGAACATAGCTATTATCATAAATTGTTCATATCTTGATAATGAAATTAGTGCAGGAAAAGTGATGTGTTGTAGGATATTTTTCTGTTTTTCAGATGCATTGTCATCATAGTTCTGGTGGCAATTTTGGATGTATTTAAAATCCTACTTTGAGTTATATTCATCTTTAGTTGTTATTTCATGTAAGGTACGTACCGGTCCGCTAACAGATCGATACACAAACCGCCCACTACCGGGCGGTACCGTCGATTGGGCTATTTTCGCCCCGTTATCATTTTAAATCGACGGTGGCCGAGGAAGAAGAAAGAAGAGGGGTGACCGAGGGAGAAGAAAGAAAAAGGAGAAGAAAAGGAGTACCTGCGCCGCTCTCCCTCCTCGTCTGTCGGTGACCTCTCATCCACACGGGGAGAAGAATCTCGGCGTCGCGGGGAGAAGAGGTGATGTCACGGCGAAAATGATATATATATATATATATATATATATATATATATATATATATATACTGAGTGGTATATCGAAATATACCGCTCGGTATACAGTATCGTACCGTAGCGAGCAAATCTCGAAACTCCGGTACAGTACGAAATTTCAATCCTTGGTTAGAATTAGTGTTCTACCATGACTTGAGTTTCAATAAAATGTTCTTTTTTTTTTAGGTTTGTAGATTGGTTAGAATACGGGTTTCAAGAGTTTATACATAAAAGGTCATCTAATGGACTCATTCGGACAAAATAAAGTTGATTAGTTAAACCACAAAGCCATTGTGCTTTTCTCCTTCTTTCAATTCTATTCTTTTTCTTTCATCATTCTCTCATTCTCTATAATTTAGTGCTCCAGTACTTATGGTTGGAGATTAGCCAACTCATAACTTCTTTTTTTCCCTTTTGTGTTCTTACTGTTTTCCCTTAAAAGCTACCATTATTGGAGTTTTCTCTCTATCAGATCAAACCTCTACTGGTTAGAACTTAATGTTCTGCTTGGCCTTCTACTCGCTGTTTCATGCTTACTTGATAGAGACATGTAGCTTATGTAGAAAATCATAGTTCAAGTCATGGAAAATCTTTCTCTTGTAGGGATAGGACTGCATATGTTGATCCTTCTCAAATCTGCATTGGTGAGAGGCTTTGTGATGTCCTACCTAAGATGAGAAACAACAAAGTAAAATCCAAAGTAAGCAACAATATGGTCCCCAAATGCCTGACCTTTTATTATTATTATTGGCCAAAGGTTTGGACATTTGAAGTGGTTATGTGAATGATCCACAATAGGAAAGTTTGTTATGAAAAAGCGACTTTGCATTTCTTGATGACTTATCTAGACAAGTGTTTTATTATTTCTCATATGAACTTTTGTCACAGAAATAAAACAATTCTATACTGAATTCTATTGATTTTTAATATACTCCTGTTTTGAATTATTATCTTTTTTTCTTAATGCTTTTGGTTTGTGATATTTCAGGTGGCAAAGATTATAGACATTGCCCCTATATGTTTATGTAGCTACTTCTTGTTTTATGATCAATTGGACAAAGGTACAGAAGTTCATGAGATTTTCTAAACATCCTGTCCTGTTTCAAATTGCTTGATATTGTAATCCATAATTGTTTTTCAGCAATCATATTTCACTTTCATTTTTTTTACATGCTTCCTGAATGTAGTCACATTATTTGTGGTTCAGGCTGGTACCAGCTTTTGGTTTGTGGAACAACACCATGGATGATACATGGATATGGTGAAATCAGAGATGTGTTTCTAAAGCACTTTGGGAGAAAAGTGCTATGGTTAGTGTTTATAGTTGTACATTTCATGCACATAGACGATATATCATTCAAAGGTTTGAACCAGCTGTTTATCAAATCTGCAGAAGTGACAGAGGACGGAATATTCTTGGTTGGCGAATGGATTGCATGGTACGGATTCCATCATCAGAAGATTTTTGTATTTGAACTCTGCTGTTGTTCAAGACACTCCTGATTTGCTTCATGACACAACCATTTAAGTTATCCTTTTTACTTAAAAGTTTTTGCACTCAGGTATCTTTTGATGTATCATATGAAATTCTCTTTTCACCCTTTTGGATTAACTTTCTGCGACAACAAACCACAACAACCTGCATAGGGTTAAGATTCAATCCCAGTGGTTTATATACTTGTCTGCTATTGTTTGATGATCAAGTGAATTAATTTTACAGGCATTGTCTTATACATGTAGTTCCTTTCATGTTTCTCCAGGAAGGTGTCTCACCAAAGTTAAGTTGTTAAAGATTGTTGAGATATGTTGAGAAGGTATATAAATTGCCAGTAAGTGGTCAGGAATGATGAAATTAAACCTTTGCTAATCCCTGCACTTGTTTGATGCTTACTTTCATTGTTACGCAGGACAGAATTAAAATTGTGTCCAGATAAGTAGAGGAGCAGCTGGAGGGAACAACACATTGCTTGGGGAACCCAAACCTGCCTTGTACAGGGATCCAGGTACCTGCTGAATTCTTCTAAAACTATATCATGAATAACAGCAGCTATTCGTAGCTTGGCCGAGAGGATACTGTCTGAATGAGTTATTTCCGTTGTTTCAAATTAATTCTCATTTCATTTCTTGGTTCTTTTATGTAATTATTCTGTTTCCAGTAAAACTATGGCTGTCACTAGTGAACAACCTTCATGATATGAAGCAAAATTGGGACCAACAACTTCTATTGCACTCCTTGTCTTCTAATAAGCTTTTTCCTATTAGTCAACTTAAATCTCTTTTTTCTTTCTCAGATTGGGACCGTATCTTTTGCGGACATTCTTCACAGGAATAAGTATGATATTGTTCTTATGGGAAAAAATTCTGTATAACCTAAACTGCATCAGCTAGCTTGCTAATGCTTTGTTAACACCTTCTGTTTGTTCAATATCTCGCATTAACATTTGGTATTGCAAAACAATTATATTTATGTCTTCACACTGATTATTAAATTTTGTGATAATAATCGAGAATTTATAGTTGGCCATCCCTCTGACTTGTGAATTAATGAACAGAATTTTCCAGGAGTAACTCATTTTCCTCGAAACTAGGTTTCTATATGATCTCGAAACATTGCTTACCAACAATTGATCTCTTTCAGGAAGTTGCCAGTTCTGCTGTCAATCTTGATTTGTTTGAATGTTACCGTACTTGAATTCATGTTTCTACACAAAAATTAGGTAGAAAAAAGCAATGCTCTATATCATGTTATCAATGAATTTTCCACAGTAGCCGATTGGTGAACATTGGAGTAATAATTGTAGATGGTGTTGTCTGCCATCACAATTTAACTAGAGATATCATCTTATACAGAAATCAATGGTCGAAAACTAGACTTTGTTTGTGATGTCCTGTTGTTCTCTTGCAACAGTAATAGCTGGTTATTGGTAAACATTCGAGTAATAGTTATAGGCGATTGTTTGTCATCGGCAATGAGTAACTCGAGATATTGCCTTATACAGAGCTCAATAGTCGAAAATGAGGCCGTCTATGAGATCGGTCGTGGCTGATTCTTGAACATTTCGAGTAATGATTATAGGTGGTTGTCAGTCATCACAATATTTAACTAGAGATTTTGCTTGACTTATATAGAGCTTAACAATAGATAAAGATCCATGTAGCTATCCTCAAATGATCATGATATTATGATTTTATTATTGGCGCGATGATCGTCAGTCAGTCGTCACAATAACCATATGAGCCTGCAGCAATGAAGAGGGGATAGTATTCCATTCCATATGGTACTACAGTTGCCAATCGAAGACACTAACCCAGTGGGACAAGTGAACACAGTTCTGAACACTGAGATCTCACGGCAGAAGTCGGCACTTTTTGGCACACACATGTCCACTAGTTTGTGCCATGTGCTTGTGGGGGGACCTGAAGCAGGAGAAGTAACACAGAGAAAGTGGCAGGACTGTGACATGGCTGGCTGTGCTCAGCTCAAACAAAGGAAATGAATCAAAGAGGAGTGGGCAGACAAAAGATATTGACAATGGTCTCTGCCTTCTCTAATGGCTTGAGAGCAACAACCAAAAAAAAGTACAGGCCACTACCAGGGATACCCCCACCACAAAAAGCAGAATGAGTGCATGATCAGCCACCCTTTGACTTATCTGAGGAGCAGCACTTTAGAGAAATAAAGCCAGCCATCACCACCACCACCATCATCAATTTCTCTGAGGTGTCATGTTAGCTCAAATCCTGCCATTATTCCTTTCCTGATCAATTCCACTACAGAAAAAGCACTGTCTTTCAAGTAGCACTTGAGAGAGAGAAAGTCATCACTGTCATCATCAACAATCATTACAACTTATAATCTCTATGTAGCATCATGTTAATCCAAACCTATCAGTATCCCTTTTCTTGATCAGGACCAGTGCCCACTACAGAAAAGCAGACCCCGCAACAAAGTGCATTGTCAGTGCATTACAACCCCAGGAAAACAAATATGAGCAGGAAAGAACTTTGCCGACTTTCCTCCCATCATTCAAAAGCATATTGGAAGATTTGTCGAGATGAGTAGACTCTTCGCTAACCATAGGCTTGCAATCATACAACCTTTGACAAAAGAAAAAAGGTAGAAAATGACATCATATGATAGCTGAGTTGATTGGTACATATTGTTATACTGATGAAACAGGTTAGGTTAATTGCTTTCGTTATGAAGGGGTGTCGGGTTCAGGCTTGACTGGTTGGGCATCAGGCTGGTGTGCGTCATAGATTGCCATGGCCAGTGAAATCGGCATCATGCAGAGAGCCTTGGACTGAAGGAACTGCATTGCCGCTCCAATATCTTCCTCCATAAGCTTTGCTACTTGCCGTTCTGTGCCATCTGTCGACCACTTCTCCCACACCTGTTGGTTGGTACCGCCCTTGCCTGCCTCTCCCTGGTGACGACGAAGCAGCAAGGTCATCAGATAAAATTGAGTACTTCTTACTTAATTTTTGTGGAAATATTAATGTAGATAAACATTATGTTCTAAAAGGAGCAAATGTTCACGGGCAAGGAAAAATGGTGTATTGACAAACTGTATCAGTAAGATGCACCAGCAAGAATCCTAACGACAATGATCAAGCAATGCACTATAATGTTTGTAGAAACATTAATGTATAATTGCACATAAACATTACATTCCTACATGAGCAAGTAGCCAGGAACTGGATCAGTAAGATGTACAGCAAGCATTAGCAAGTGTCTATCAACAAAGAACAAAATCTCTAGATGCACTGACGGATACATGCGGTAGAAGGAAATAACTAATAACATGCCAAGTGCTTAACCAGTTCAGAAAAGAAACTAAATAATCTGAAAGTTCTTGTTTCTCCTTCACAATAAAACATGTTGCATACAAACATCACCAAATATGCAAGATTGTCTATTAGCCATTATATAAGTCTGCGAGAACACACAAAGAATGCATGGAGTGACTAACTGAAAGAAGATTGCCTGTGCATTCACAAAAGAAAAGAAAAGAAAAGCCTTCATCTTTCAAGATGCAGGTATTGGTTTATTACCTCAACTGCCAGGGGAATATCAGCAATCAGCTGTGCCACAGCACCAGCACCGCCGAGCCTGCTCATGCTTAGTACCTTACATTTTAAGGATGAAATCAGTTCAAGCAGGCACTTTGGAAGAAAGGGGGTAAATAAATAATATAGATACAACATCACTTGGAAAACCTCCATAAATGGGATTCTGGCAGAATTCTAAGTATGCCATTGCGATAAGTTACTGAAATGGGATATAGAACAAGCTACTAAATGAGGAACAGAAGGTGCAGTTCAAAAGCGCAAAATATACTCAGTCTTGGCATGTTTCAAAGAAGACCATGCACCATGGTATGATGGTCCAGAAGCTTCTTTGAGAAAGTCTCCTGCTGTTTCTGTAGCTTAAATGATGCAGATCGAGAAACTAAACTGGAATTGGAATTTTTTGGTACGCAACGAAGTGACTGCATTTGCTGTTTCTGTTAGCATTTTTGGATAGTTCACAAACTAATGAGTGAATACGATACCATGCCCACTGCATGTGGTCATTCCATATAATTTTTCATACATTTGGCAACAATTTAAAGTCATCAATAGATCTACTACGATTACAATAATAAAGTTGGTATGAGCTGCAACTCATGCATGACACAATGACTCTAATAGAAGATAGGTGACAAAAAAATTGGCAATAGTTTGAAGTCTTCAGTAGATTCATTATGATTGCAATGTTAAGTTGGCATGGGATGCAGCAACTAATGCAATGTCATGGATCACTGGATACAAGAACATACAAGTAAAAAACACAAATAAAGTACATGTATAGGTTTAAAAGTAATTTTTGAGAGGAAGCTGGTAAAGCAAAGGCTAGACAAAAGTTAATGTAAATTTGGTACTATCATTTAGGCAAAAGAAAGTTGAAACATTTTGGCTTCAGGTATTAACATTCATTGCAAGTGGAATGGGCATATCAATGAATAAAATTATTATTAATGGTTCAGGTTTTGACACATGAGCATCCAAAAGCAAGAGAGCGGGAGAGAGAGGAAGGAGTGCAGCAGCTATGTGATAAGAATTTTTGTTAATGCTAAAAGGGCAGCCCAGTGAATTTTTGTACATGCTTCTAAATTATTAAACAAACAGCCGCTCAAAACAATTGTGATGATAGACTGCACTGAAACAACTCTTAGATAATGCAAATTTAGAAAAAATAAGTTCAAGTCTAAATGAAGCAATGACCAGATAAATTTAGTTCAATCATGAGCATCAATTTTACTTCCAGAAAACTAATTATTCTGAAAACATATATATACCTTCACTTGCAACCTCAAAAACTTCACATAGTCTAGAATCTCATCAAGCATGGCCGCTCTATCTGTCTGCACAGAAAAAGGTCCACAATGGACAAAGACTAATACTAGTTAGTTCGCTAACCAATATCCATTAATTAAAAAAAAGACAGCTCCCATATTGCTAAGGATTGTTCCAATATTAATTAAGTTGCCAAACATTATCTAACCCACATAAAAAGAAGAATCACCTCTTTGATGCAAACAATAAAGGAACCATTAACCATCTTTGTCTAGGGGAAAGATACTCTCTAGGGACAGAAATGTCACAAGACACTAATAGATCAAACCCCAAGAAGAACAATACCTAGGGGCAGAGTTTCACCAGGAACTTCAAATAATTTAAGGCTTGTGAAACTTTGTAAAGAAAGAAGAAACTTACGGTGAACGTGATATTGCCCCTGAGTACACATGTTTACTTCATAGGAGAGCATGAGATAGAAGGGGATGAACATAATTTGTCCGACAATGGTTAAATCTGTAATATTCACCAGTTGTGGGTCTGGAAGGATGATGTTCAGTAGCTTTATATCTCCATAAGATTCTAATTTTATAAAGGTGCAGAGTTTATGCCAACAAGAAAACCCCAAGCAAAGACAACAAACAGCAAGTGCTTTAAGTTTCTAGAACTTTCCTAAAAGGGAATAATCTTTATCAGAAATTCTCTGGTTTCTCATTCTGGAATCAAGCATCATTGTTTTTAACTGATACAAAAGTAGCTTTTTCACTTATCTGCTGTTAGCTCACCGCTACTGACAACCCACAAGAACAGCAAATTATAGTCACATGATTGCAACTTCTGAGAGATTTATGATTGCAACTTAATGAAGGCAAATACTTGATACTATAGCATAGCCTAGGCCAACAATGCATATGCAGACACTCTTCCATTCCAAGCTTGTATCAAATACCAAATTTGGAAAGGAAACAAAGCAATAACTAGAAATCTCAATTTTATAAACTGCACAAACACCAGTTTGTATCAGGAAAAGCCAACTGAAGCGCTACTAACACCACTACTATTGATCGGGTTAAAACATGCAAAGCCAACCTCAAATTATCTAAGCTCCAAACATCTGAGCTTTTGAGGTATATAAGGGTATCCAACAGTCAAAAAGTAATTCAAAGGAGAAAAATAACCTGGTTGAAAGGGTGATGTAATTTCATGCATACAGAAAATGGATTGTACTAATTTGCATATAATATTTACAATAGAACTGATTAATAGACATCAACGATCAAAGTTCATTTCACAAGACTATGAAGCAACAGTATTGAAATGTAGAAGTGAAATTTAGGTTTCCATGATGAATTATGTGTGCTACAGTGCAACTGAGAAGACAATTGAGAACATTTAAGAGTCATTACTACATATGAAAACAAAATCGGGGTTAGGTTGGAAGTTTTTGCAGTTCTTTAAGAATTACTTAAGGTTAAGATAAGATATAGCAGACAAAGTTGAGGATCAAGTTCAATACAATCTTGAACTTTCAAGATATTGTAATTTCTAAGGGATAACACAAAAATAAGATCTAAGATCCATGGCAGTAGGACTACCAAGATGTCTGTGAAGCTTCTATTGGAATGCAAAAGCTCAGAAAACAGTCAGCTATCCTCAATCATTCTGCAGATTATATCACCAAAAAAAGAAACAGTAATCTTGACTTTTACCAATCTTTAGATTTTGGTATAATTTATTTACACTTCTCCCACATAATTTGTGATGGCAAACTGACATGAACTTTCTAATACAGCCTTCTTGAGAAGAACTCGAAAAATACTTGCAAATATAGAGGCCATAATGTATCTTACATGGATCATCAGAACTCCAATAGACCCAAGCTCTACCTTTGATTATAATCTATTCATCAAAAGTACTACCTGATAATGATATATCACAAAACTTAAGAATAACAAGTTCTTTGCCCAATCAACTTGTTCCCCAAGGGCCCGGGTGTAGCAACTGAGAAAAGATCTCATCCATAAAGTCAAATACTCATATAGGTACACAGAGAACATTCTAAGATTTAATTGTGCTGTTGCATGTGTAAAACTTTGCTGGCACTTATTTTCTTTCTGCGGACTCTAAGAATATTATGTAGTACTGAAAAACGAGTGAAGACCGGAGATGATTTAGCAGGAAGAACAACCTTTTTGGTCCTTCCCCTTGCAACACATATAATTGTGCTGTTGCATGTGTAAAACTTTGCTGGCACTTATTTTCTTTCTGCAGACTCTAAGAATATTATGTAGTACTGAAAAACGAGTGAATACCGGAGATGATTTAGCAGGAAGAATAACCTTTTTGGTCCTTCCCCTTGCAACACATATAATAAATAACAAAGTTCAAGTTCTTTTTTCCAAAAAGAAACTTACTGACATCTAGTTAGTTTGGATATCAAGAAAATGTTGTTGTTTTATAGAGTTATACAGGACTCAAATAAAAACTAACTGAAAACATTGAATTATTTTCCTAAAATTAAGATATGTATATATTCTATGAAAACCTTAAGACCATCTGTCATGGAACTGAAAAAATGAAAAGGAAACCCATCTAGTCACCTTGTTAGTGTTGGGTACCAATTCCTGCAACGCTCTAATTCTTTCCGCTATTCTTTCTCTACGTAACTGCAATCAACAAGAAAAGAATGCAGTAGTAGAGCAGGTGTGAATATATATAAAGGAAATAATGTCTTCCATATGTACTAAAGAAAACACTAGTACCAGACAGAGTACAAAAGATAATCAATAAAACTTGATGAAATTGATTGTGCAGTATGTATATGTAAACATAAGATAAATTAAGATTGGGCAAGTTTCAAAGAAACTTCATTACTTCAATTATTGAATGCCACATATAAGACAATTAAAGGATAAAAACGAACAAGTAAAACATTAAATGCTTAAAAAAACTTTAGAATTCACAAGACTTTTTAGTAAAATCATGAACTTTAAAGTGATACAATTGATACGGAAGAATCATGTATGTTTAGAAATAGGAAAATATTATTACCATTAAGTGCAATGAAGAGTTTAGATGATAACATCTTTACGAAGTGTCAGAACTTACTCGCTCAGCAATGCTATGAGGATCAGTGGCCTGGCCACGCCTTGCCCGCACCTTTGGTCGTGGAGCTGGAGGTTGTGGAAAGGCTGCAACTCCACCTTGCTTGGCTTGACCATGGAAAGCCTACAAAATTTGGAAAGAGCAATTCAAAGAAAAGAAGATATGCAAAAATGACAGACATATGAACCCTCTCCAACAATTTAAGAAATATCAATCACATGAGAATAGGAATCAGCACGTAGACGAGAGAGGAACATACTTAGATGCAAGTACCTGCTACCATAAGCAGCTCTCCTCATCCTGGACCAGCAACAGATACTACATATAGGACCAAGCTTCTTAACTATTGGAGTTCATCTTACTTTTTGTTTTCCTTCCACTATATTTGCAGAATTCGAACATGAATTTAGCATGGAGTTGATTAACAATTAATGATTTTTCGTGTTTCTTGCTGCAGATAACCTCATTTACTTCATAATTCCACTTTTCATCTACAGAAGTTCATATGAATTTACAACCAAAAATTCAGAGAAACCATCAAGAAATTCAAATTTGGTGATACATAGTCCTCCAAAGAAAGAAATAAAAGAAGTCATTTTAGTTTATATCTGAACGACAAATGATTTTGGACAGGACTATCAAGAACTTGAATACCTACGAAAACCGGCAGATTTACGCCATAAAACGGGAAGGACTTTGAAGAAACCAACGGACCTGAGGAGGAGGAGGATTAGGTCGCATTTGATGGGACTGGATGTGGCCGAACCCCGGAGCAAACAACCCCGCCGACGGAAACGTATCCCTCTCCTGCTTCAAAGCCACAGACCCCGGTCAGCTCATCAAAAGGTCACATTTGTCCCTCGACAAACTCACAAAAGACGAGCATACGTAACATCAACATCCGCCATTTTGGCCCAAGAGGGTGCCAAATCGGTGAGAGAGAGAGAGAGAGGAGTCATCGGCTCACCGCCTTTCCCTCCGGGTCCTCGCGAAGACGCTTCCCGCTCGAGGAGCCCTGCTCCAAGCTCAGCCCCAGGGGGAACGCGCAACCTACGCCACCGGGTACGTCGGCTGGCCTCCGGTGGAGGGGAACCCCGGCGAGGCTACCGTCGGCTCCGCCGAGGCCGGCGTCCCCGCCGGCGGTGTAAGATGAGGGCAGGGAGAAGATCTGCTCGAAGAAGTCGTCGGCCATGCCGTCCGGCTGCTGATGCGGCGGTTGGTTCGCCATGGCGGCGGCCGCTCGGACGATGGCTTTTCGTTTGGTAACGGAGAATGCGGAATGATAGAGAAATTATTATTGTTCTTATTATATTATACGAGAGAGAGAGAGAGAGATTTGTTTTAATATATTTTATTTTATGTCAAAAAAGCTCAAACTTTTGATGCGGACTCCAAATATATTTTTAATAAAAAAGAAGCATATTTTTAATAGAATAATATCATATGCAGACAGCATGTCATCAAATATTTATTCTTTTTATTTAGTCAATCAAACTTATCATCCCCAAATCCTCCCATCAACTTTTTTTTTTTTAAATACAATACAATTATCTTATTATTTTAGTAAATTTACGATTAAATATTGATATTTGGGGTATTTTCTTATAAAACATTTATCTTTTTTTAAAATAATATTTTAAATTAAAAAAAATCCAAATTATCCCTTAAATTTTTTTTTTACTTGTTACAGTATTTTAGCTATTAAATAAAAACATTATAAAACCAACTTGAAAACACTAAATTGACTCTTAACCTTAATCAAATTAATTATAAATTTAAAAATATAATATTATAATGATCTATGAGCAATGATAATCAAAGTAATACAGATCTATAGTATTTTCAATATATCAATAAAATACTATAAATATTATTAAAAAAATATTATAAACGATCTAAATGAAAGCGCTGTAATATAATAAATAGTTGCAAACTGATAGAAAAAAAAGGGAGAAAAGTTTTGAAGAAAAAACTTTTGAGGGGTCTTTTAGATTTTTTTAATTAGGAATATTATTTGAGAAAAAAAAAAATAAAGATGAGATATCTTTTGAAAAATACCCAAGATAGGAATTTTTTGTAAGGAAATCGCTCTTCATATTTTCTATGTTCTTAAAATTTTATTATATTTTTCAATCTCTTTACATAGTTTATCCTTGGAAAGTTTGGAAATAACATATTTTCCATCCAAGTATTAAAACCCTATCTTTTCCTTAACATTCATCCAAACATTAATTGCACATAACCTCAAATCAATCATCTGGAAGCTCGTAATCCACTTTAAGATGGATATGAATCAGAATAATATTCTTCTAATCCAAATCACAATCCAACAAGTTTATTCGATGGATGACCAATTCGGATATGGATCGATCTCGATCCTGTCCTTTATTATGATATGACCAACATAAAAATAATAAAAAGTATTCCCCTAAGAGCCCATAGAATGTTAGACCAGATTAGACCTCCTTGATCTAACTTGTCACAAGTCTAAAGGTGGCATGCATGTCTCATAACCTTACTCCTGTTTGCCTCCGCTTCAAAATAATTACTACACACATCTTGTCAAGCATCCAACAACACCATAAAGTTATATACCTTCTCCTCCATCAGGACCGATATAACACACAAGGCTTCAATCCAGATTCAGAGCCCAGAAATTTCATTAAAGAAGCTACATGCAGATTAGCATATGTAACTTCTGCAAAAAAAAAATGCAGGTTAGCCATAATAATTTTGTACAAGTATTTTTCTTTTTTTCTGAGAAGGAAAAATTATCAATTACAGTTTCGGGTTGAATGTAAGAGTTCTTATATCTCTTTATTCATCTTTTCATGCTCTCTTAGGTTTCTGGATTTATAAAACAATCTATGAGGAAACCAACCCTATAGCCCTAAAAATGGAAAAAGGATTTGATCGATTAGCAAACTTTTTTATAACTCTGATAATCAATTTTCGTCCGAAAGCCAGACAAACAACGGGAAGGGATCCTCCGAATTGACTATTTTAGTCTTATCAATTTTGGTAGGAAGCAATTCCTGATGTATATTTTGGAACGGTATCTCATGTAGTAAGCTACCATCATATCATGTTTCTTTCTCAAAGAAAAAGAAAAAAAAAAAAACACTTCTACAACAATATCCCTACCTGTGACATGGAAACTCACTTTTCAAAATGAGCATTATTCCGGGGGTTAGAGGTCAGGAGAAAAGAGTCGGCTCGGTTGGCCATACTATTTCTTTGCTAGCATATTACCAGGTGAATTTGGCTCTGGATTTCAAGAGAATTTCCACAGAAGTAATGATTGAGCACTAATTTTGAGTGGGTAGACATAAACTATCACTCAACTTATTACTTATCCATTCAGATACTGGAAAATTTGTAAGCAGCGACAAAAACTCAAGAAATGTCACAGAAACTCATGTCTGATGCAGAAGAGAAGAAAGAACCCATGTACCTAATAATACAACACTGAGAAATGGTTGTCGACGACAGCTCAAAAGGAGCTCTCTTTGCCGCCTGAGGTTTCAAGTTCCTTTTCTTCTTCACTGCTCATGGCTTTGTCGAGGCTTTCAGCTGGAGGTGATTTACTTGAATCTTCAGGACCCTTCTTCAATTCAGTTTCAAATTCTTTTGCGGCCTGAGCATTTAAGATAGGTTAATCAGTAAGATTAAAGAAGTAAACATCAACAGCAACATACCAAAGGAATGTGATTCTTGAACTGTATACCATGCAGAATGCAGTCAAAATAACCAAGGGACTACATACTCTTAATCGACCTCAGGAAAAAGAATCATTTTAAGTGTCAATTATTCAACGGTGAAAAAACTCTGATTCTAGGATTATTTTACAATATTTACAGCCATAGTATCTCAACCTTGTTCATGATCTTGCATGCAAATGTAGCAATCATCATAAAATGTCAGTTGGCCAGCTAAATTTAATTTGTATTATATTTTATGCTTCTATGGGACCATCAATTCTCGATTCTGGGTGTGATACTGATAAAACCATACAGACACACCACATATGACCAGAGACTAATTAAATAACCAAGTATGATCATATCCTGAGTTGCAACCTCACAAATTGCATGTTTAATGAAGAATCATAAAAGCTTTCATAACCGGGGTGATTGTATCTTTTTAGAAATCAAAACAAAAGTACAAGAATAACCACACATCTTCTCCATGATGGTAAGTGAAATTAAAGGAAACCCTGCATTTGAAAGGTCATGCTTTAGTAAAATTACTAACAGAAGCAGAACGTGTAAACATGGACAACGAAGACTTTGGCAATCTCGATAAGTAGAGAAGTCAAATATTGCATTATTCAAAAAGATACCATAAAATAACTCATTGTTGATCTCATCACTAATAAGGAGACAAAAAGGGAACTTTGATTATGTTCTAAAGATCCATAGAAAGTCTCACCAAGAATTTTAGCCAGCAAGTGGCTTATTGGCATAAGCATCGCATCTCATCATATGTCATCTTAAGCCCTAATGCATCTATCTACAGTCAGTTTAGTCCACCACCATAGTTGCACTATAACCACTCACTAACTGAGTGAAATTCACAAGAGAACAAGGTTACTGCCATAAATTAGGCCATATTAAACAAAAGGATCCACTTATCCCATCTATGTTACTCATAACTATTCTTGATTTGACTGAAAATTCAAGCTTGATTTATGTAACTTGTATAATTGGATTAGAGTGGCTGAAGGACTAGGGAACAGATTTATGTAACCTGCAGGAGCTACTCCACATTGCTTGAAAAAAAGATTGACACCAGTACAACTAACTACTTGATGCTGAGGAACCAGATTGCAGCTAGAATACTTGCAGGTTTTAACAGAAGTCCACTTTTATACTAATTATGAAGCTTTGGAAGTGTCCCACATATCAAACAATAGGAGATCCAGAATCAGCAAGTATTGATGATTTAGCCTGCATATATCCATTCAAGATAGAGGAATTTGGCCCCGAGTTTTCAACTTCATATTCTAACATCTTAATCCTAAATTCTGTGTGTTCCTGTCAGGCCATAATTTTATTTGCGTATGTGTAGACCATACTGCTCTCTCTCAGAAATTATTTACTGATAAGAGGCATGTTCAAGGAATGCTGTCTCAAACCTTAGTTCCTAGGTGCGACTCCTGAGTGTTATATACTCAGATGTTTGGGCAACTCATACAAGGAAATTGTATACCTCGAGCCGATCTCAATTGACCATAAGGTACATCACTCATAAAAGTTGATCCAGCATCCTAAATCTTGATCTAAAAAAGGATGTTCTCAAGATCCAGCAGACGCAGAATAGTTTCGCTACAATATAGGCACATAAAACAGAATAGAAAGACAACCAAACGCCCGAATCAAAGCCCGGATTACCAAACAAGATGCAGGATTCAAAGGAAAAAGGGACATTCAATCCCTAAGAACAACTGGAATGAAACAAACCCACCGACCAATTCCTCGAGAGGCAAAAGAGAGGGACGAACCTGTTGGAAGCTCTTGACGGTCTTCCCGAAGCTGCGGCCGATCTCGGGGAGTTTCTTCGGGCCGAAGACGAGCGCGGTGACTCCTGCGATCACGACGAGCTCCGGGACCCCGAGGCCGAACATGCAGCGGCACCCGAGGCCCCGGTGGCGGCGGAGGCGGGGATGGGGCCCGAACGCAAGCGTCGACCGCGCGAGGGCCACCCTCTCTCCGCCGCCGGCGAAGAACGCGGAGTTAGGCGAGCCGAGGGAAAAGGCCTTCATCGGCAGCCGAGTCGTGCTCGCCATTAGGGATGCAGAAGAGAAGGTCATGGCCGCCATCTCTCTCCGGATGTGTTCGCTCCCCCGTCTCGATCGCAATCCACTCACGTTTTCCAGGTGTCTGTTATTTCTCTCTCAGCCATTGGCTTACTTCTTGACATGGGGTCACCTGTCACCAGACGTGAAGTGGGACCCATGGATGACGGAACTGAGCCGGCCCGGTCAATTGAGTCGATTTTAATCGGATCGGAGCAGACCGTAGCTAACGTAAACCGATGCTTGAGCGGTCCGGTTTCTTTCTTTTTATAGAAATGGTGAATATTATTGGCCGTTTTATTGTCTACTCAAAAAGACTAAAATGCCCTGTTTCACATATCCTATTTAATATTCCATCGAGGGCTAATAAAGTCTTCTTCACATGTATAGGGAAGAGGAGAAACAAAAAGGTGAAGTAGAGGAGTATGAAGATTTATATTGAACATAAAAATGATATATCACAATTAAGATGGTTGTAATTGTAATATATTTGTATCACCACAAAAGTTGATGAGTCAATTAATATATCAGCCTCACATGACTTATTACAAAGAAAAGACTGTAAACACATCAGCCATAATACCAACACTAAATAGATCTTATATTATGTACCACAGCTAAAAGTAACCATGATGGTCCTCCTTCCAGTCATGCAGCATACAAGGATTTCAATGCTTGCCAATAAATCCAATGAAAATAATTGCACGGCTGTACCATCCATGATAAGGAGAAAAATATAAGAGTATTGACTGAAGATGTAATTGAACATTTTGCCAAAATATATATAGTATATACATTGCCACAAGCATAGCTGAAAAGAAAAAAAAAATAGTTTCCACATAAAATGAATCTTCATCTGCAATTAGATACATCTATTCATCAAGAAATAAATTTCAACAGTTCATGTCAGCGGAGATTGAACAGACAATGACAGAAGTAGTCAACATTTGATGTACAAGGCTTCTTCACAAGCAGCCATAAGAATGGGTAGTCGATGAATGATTCTGATAGTTTCTTTTGGTACACATGTCAAATGATATCACAAGTCTCAGATATTGAGAATAACATGACAAAGATGATAGAAACTTGAACAGATAGTAGCACAGAGAAGATTGTGGTGCTCATGGCAAATGAATATTAAATAAAAAACACCAATCTGTGAAGCAATCTGCAAATTTCATGACCCAAAAAAACACTTAATATCATATGTAGGATGCTTTGAAGCTTTTCATCTGTAACCATATCTTGCATGCCCAGATGATTGTGAGCATTGGCCAGGCACCATAAAAACAAGGCCCGTCCAAGATGAATGTATAACATGTTTGCTACCTTAAGAAGCTGAATACTGGAGTATCATCGGGAGTCTTCATTTAATCTGTTCTTGGACGATTGGAACCAGCTTTTTGGCGGCTATTGTACAGTGGCAACAGCGAACGAGATCCATGTTTCCTCCTACCATAACACCGCCAGTATACAAGCAGAACAAGAAGCAATATACCAATTGGAATTGCCCATCTGTTCCAGTATTGCAAATATAAAGATAAAAAGATCAGTGAAAAAGGTTGTGTTTAATATGGTAAGTAATCTGCAGTGTGATCAAAATGTCAGTTGAAACTATGACAAGAAATGGAGAAAGTCTTGCCTGTCCAAATCAAGAATAGGGCTATAAACTATAGTCTCCCATGTAGACACAATAATGTGCCAAGCAGGATTGTAATACAGTGATTCTGATGACCAGAACATTCTTGTGTATGTCTCCAAGAAGATGAACATCAGCCAACCAGAAATCTCCAACAAAATAAACTTGATGATAAATCGACCCACTATGGCCACAATAAGTGAGAAAGTCACCAACCAATTTGAGAGTCTTTGATTGTAGTCCTTGATGAAAAGGGACCGAGATTTTCCAAGCATCTGAAGAAAATCCAAAGTCATGATCAGAAACAATTCATTTGGTTCACTGATAAGATTACGAATCATCTGAAGAAGAGCCCAGAACGGTTTTTCTCAAGCAAACAATAATAGCAGTTAACCTGATTAGCTGATTTTCACATAGTAATTAGTTTAGATTATTACAACCTTGAACACATCTCTAACAGAAGGTGTCAGACATTCGTTAGAGAAACACGTCTCTAGTGAATCTTGATTGCATAATCTAATACAGATTATAAATGTCATAAAATGATAAAATCATACCAAAAATGTCGCAAACAAAAGGAAAAAAAAACAGAAACAAGTACATCCTCTTCTTATCCTCAAATACTCGTAACATCACAATTCACAAAGAATCACATAAATTCCTAAATTGAAGCATAGAAAGATCGTCAAACTTATAAAGATAACAACCAAAGAATCCCTTGATTCATCACCTGCCAATTTTGATAGATCATAAGACAATTCTAAATTAGCACACTCTCGGAATACTTCTTAAGTATATACAACAAACAAAAAACTCACCCGGTTGAGTCAAAACTAAAATATTTGATATTCTCAAACTTAGGCCACCACTAAGTTTTAGTAATGACTTCCACATATCCTAATTCCTTATGCAAATGAATGAAATGCAACACAGAACACCTTCCTCGAACACAGTACCAGGAGCCCAGCTGCTAACCAAAATCACTAATAATGCAAAAAAATCATTTAGTATTCTACAATTCTAAATTTGTCTTGCATTGTCAAATGATCCTCTCTATATTTTGGGATGTCACCATCTTTTTATACCATGTGATCCTGCATAACAGCAAACTGGATGCCAGTGAACCACCTATCAACTGAATGCATAGTTTAGACCATAAGTACCCGGAAACTGGAATATTTTGGGTTGCGGTATGTAGTGCGGATATGCCAATTAGATGAACTTCATGGTAAGGTAAATGAGGGTGAGGTTGAAGTGGTTTCATTACTTCAGGTTGTCGCAAGGATGTAAGAAACCATAATACAACGAGCAACAAGCAAGAATTTAGCTGAAGAGGTGTTTATTTAAATAAAAAAGAAAAAGAACATGCTGCTATATGTGTCAACTGGCTGGACCTAGGCCCAATGCAAGTTGAATTAGCAGGACTCAGACCAGAGACTTGGTTGCTCAAACCAAGCCAGAGGATCTGGGTGGGACTGGTCCATTTATAGTTTACAACAGGGCAAGGCAAGATTTGAACTTCTGAGGATAAGACTGGGCCCGGCCGTTCAGGTTCATCAGCCTTGTGTCAAATCAACCCACTTCTTTTGGCACATAATTCAGCAGAAATGGTACTATCAGAAACAAATCTAAACACATTAACATATGCAACTAATGGAGCATCTAATACATATCCCTGCTGGCAATAAGATTATATCCAGTTAACGTAGCTCATAGCAAAGTATTTCAGAAGTGAAATAACATCATTTTCTTATGATAAGCTAATCCCACCAAATTCAGAATCTTCCTTTGAAGCATTGAAAAGACACCGTTATCTTTCCTTTAACACAATCTAATCACAGTCAATATTTCACCCATCAAATAAGAGGAAACTGATTGTAACAATTAGTCACAGGACATCTTACCTTCATCATCTTCTGCTTATATGTTTCTTTTGAAGGCCCAACACAGTCTCTTTCAAAAGTTTGATTGCACTGAAGAAAACCAGCATTGAATTTTGCCATGGAAGGAAGTCTCATGACTTGAAGGTGATCCATTTTATCCTCACACTCAGTGTATCTGGCTTCACACAATTTTGATGAGTGATATTCATTTGCCAGAAGGAATGTTCTATAAACCTGATAAGACAATTGTACAAGTAAGCACAAAGATAATTTCATAAGCATGAAAAATATCTAAACTGAATAAGAGCAGATATGGCCCATAAGCTACAGGTTCATATGCATTTCCTCAATGCAACACTATTGCCTGAACAGATTTCATAATCTCACTTTTAAAATTTATAAATGATGCAAAATAGACAAGTTATACTCATACTCAGATCTATATGAGAGCATGTTTTATCATCTTTTTTAGTATCTCAACCAAAAAGTCCAATTACAAACTCAAAGTCCCTGGTCCAAGTGTTAGGTTCTTCTTTTCCTATCAAAAATCAATTGCAATCCTCTCAATTAGGAAGCAGGTTATAAACCTTTCAGATCTGAATTCAGTCACATATTAGTCTCCATTTAAGTAAATCACAGATCAAGACAAATATGAAAAGATATATTTTTAAAAACCCTTGAACAGTTCATTTTCAAATTATATACTTAGTTTCCAGTCTGACTTCTCTTGGTAGTTTTTTTTTTTTCTGCAACCATCCATCTTCCAAAGCCACCTGAATTCCAGAACCTATTACAAAATTTTAAGGGTCAAAGATATTTCTAGCAGCTCTTCTACTGCACCACTAAGTATTAACCATAAGTTCAAGCAAAACATTTGCAATTCCAACTGCCTGTATTTGCCAATTTTTTCACCTATTTAGTCCCCTTATGTGAGTGAAGTGAAAAAATAATGCTGGCGTAGCTCTTGGAGAGCTCTGATTTAGTATGTCTATGCAAAACTTCTAGCATTGAACACATTGTTGCACCTTTTGTATCTCATCGTCAAGTTTTAGAACAGATCTTTCAGCATGATGCCGACCAAAATGTTGTTGATCAAACAACTTTTTTGCTTCAGCCTTTGATTCTTCATGAACTTCCTGCAGCCTGTTCTCTTGTACTGGTAGCCGCAAAATGTCCATCCGTTGACTGTATAATTTCAAACAATGGTCAAGAATCACCTTGTTAAATACTTCAACAATAGAACCTGTGGATGGAATTTCTCCTTTATTCAGGGCGTCAAGAATCTGAAAAGAAACAATGGATGCAATAATTAGAGCTACTTATGATGCTCGATACTTCAAATTCAAGTTTAATGGTTTTAATTTGTGCATGAAAACCACATCAAGTATCCAAGCATAGGAACAGTAACAAACAGATAACTTGTGGAATGGACACAAATTCATGCAAAAGCACCTGCTCTAGGAAAGCTACAAAATCCTTTCCATTTAGAGGTTTTCCCTGGACAACTTTTGGACGTATAATGGTTGCAACAAGTTTTTTCAACTGGTCCCTTCTTTTCACATACAACTGATCCAGCTCAGTGTCCTTCATATCGCAAAGTTTTGTCCTTTGAAGATGAGGCTGTCAGAAGTTTCAAGGCTCTTGTCAGATCATAAAGTAACAAATTGCAGGAAATGTATATTAGAGCATATGTTAACTTATAGAAGCATAAAAGAATAACTTCCAACGTCCAAGTGAGGGCAGCAAACCACAATGATGGCAGGTTCCACATTCCAATTCAAACAATAAACTATCAGAAAGTTAACTAATATACTATCAACTAATGACAATAACACATAAGAAAAAAATAAAAGAGCTTTTAAGCCCATGAATGTTGCAAAAGCTAAGACACATGAAACATGGATACTTGAAAGAAAATTGAGTCCTCATCCATCTCCTCTCCTCCTTGTCCTCATCCCCTCCTCGTCTCCTCCTCCTCATCCCTTCATCATCTCCTCCTCCTCTCCTCGTCCTCCGCTTCTCCTTCTCATTCTCGTCCCCTCCCCTTCGAGTGCTGCAGTATATACCAGCATAAATTGGTATGCCATGTGTACTAGACCCATGCTGGCCAGCCAGGGACAGGGATGGTTCTGGTATCCAAGATTGAGAACCATGATTCAGTGAATATGCAATCTTGCAGGCATCACAACATGTACCATGGAACAGAGTTACAGAATTACTACAAAAATCTTGTTATTGTGTGTGCAACTGCACTTATGGCCCACATCACAACTGTGTAACAATTTCCATTAACTACTTAGATGATAATTCTTATAGTTAGCTATAAGGGCAAGTAAGCAAAAAATAATGCATTAACAAAATATCTATGATTTATACACAAAACCAAGTGTGATGAGCCTTTTAATAAAACAATCCTGGATTTAAGCACGTATGAAAACTAAGAATCTCAATTATCATTCAGAATAGATTCATTTTTAGTACTAAATAACCAATAATAATCTCAGATTTCACAATTGTTGAACACAGTCCACATTCCAGTAGCAACAGTAAAACCAAGTCCGACTTGGCATAGCTGATGCCTGATCATATGCAATAAAACAACAAGACATGATGTCATCCAGAAACATTAACAAATAAGAGACAATTAATGCTTATTGTAACAAAGTTTAATAATAAAAATGCCCTTTTATTAAGGAAATTAAATGGGCATACCAAAGAAGACTTCTGCAAAAGATCAAAATCTCCAAATTATATAATCATTGACTAAGATAAACTGTGATATTATCAACGATAACCAATGTTTACCTGTGGTAGGCTAAAGGCAGTACTATTGTCACCCATTATTGCTAAGGAATCTCGAATTTGGTTAACCTGATTCACCACATCAAAATGGATAGCAAAGGTTTTTAAGAAAACATAGGAGAGCTCACTAAACACAACTCTATTAAAAATGATATTAATGTTAACAAAAGAGCCAAGAGGCTTGAAAAGAGCAGGGAAGGACAATTTTCAAATATTGTTCATTTATACATAAAAGTAAGAATTAACAGTTGGACCATACCTGATCAATGTTTCTATCTCCTGAAACCATAAAAAAGATTGAATATAAATACTAAGGTAACTTCATAAGATTCCCATAAATAGCAAATGAAAATGAAGTGACAATCAGATAAGACTGACCATTATTATTTGGTATGCGCCGAAGGGCTTCGTTCACCATTTCTTGAACAGACTTCCCTTCTGCATAATCAAAATATATAATTTTTAGTGAACTAGCCATGAAGAGATGGTAAAATTTTAATGCAGACATAAAAGGGATAAACGGCATCTCAATGTTCTGATAAATCAAAGTGCATTACTCAAAATTCTAGGTACATAACGTAACAAAAAAAGTTGAGAAACTCTGATTCACTTGGCACTGCAAAGTATCAACCACATCAACCAATGTATAATCTGCTGGACTACTTCAAATACAACATACATGTCAAAATACTATCAAACAAAATCCGAGATGTAAAAAGAACATTAAAATCAAATCACTTTAGTCATTAAAAATGTTAGAAGTTGTCCATGGATCAAAAGACCTTTTCAGGTTGCTTGACATGTTACTCTCTTATTATAACATTATATCGTAGATTATGTAAAATATTAGTTGTATATATACTTCTGCAAATGCTAACTAATACAGGGTGTCTCACTTTGCAAACCTAGGTAGTAGCACCTATTGTATAAAAACTGTTTTGCAGAATCTTCTGTAGTCTCATATTCTTGGCAGAATCTTCCATTACATCATATTTTTTCTTTTCCAGTAACAGTTGTCCTGATGTTCTAGTCTATCTTTTGTTATGGTGGTTGTTGCTGTTGTTGCCTACTTGTTAGCCTTTTAAAACTTTTTGTCGATTACTAACATGTATTGTCACTATTACTTAAAACTATTTCAAGCAAACAGATAAGAAAATAAACTTACGCAGGAAATCTCGTTGGATAAGCCACAAGAGTTTAGCAGGCTCAAATGCAACATCTTGCCCCTGTATAAACACACCATATTGTGAATAACTACAAGTATATTTGGTTATCTAAACCACTAAGCACATAATATCAGTAGATTACCTTCACCCTGATCTCCATGAAGCAACAGATGAGCAAAATCCAGAAGTAATTAGAAAGAAAAAATCAACAAACTAACAATAACAAAATTTTTGCACTAACAGAATTCAAATTTAGACCTTCCATAAAATTCTTCTGCAATTTCAACAGCAAATGAGAGCCGAGATATATCAGCCTCGCGAATCTACAACATGAAACAGAAATTTGAAGAATAGAGATCATAAGTGAATAAAATCTCATCTAGCATAGAAAAAAGAAGTCGGTAGCACCAATTGTAGACTCATTAAATCCAGATAAATAACAAACCGTCTCAGGAAGATTATAAATGAGAACAGAGCTCATTACTGTAGCCAGCGCAAAGATCCTGTAGAAGTCAAGGACAAAGTTAACATGATTGTATTTTGTAGCAAAATTAATGATGTAAATTTTGGTATTACCTGTCATCATATACATTTGATTTGCCAACACTTTCAAATCCTTCTGTATCTAGGTACAATACAGATACTTTTGTTCCATCAATATCCAATTCCACTGGTGTTCCCCAAACCCAAATGCCTGTATCAAAAGACGCTTGCTTACTAAATACAAGATCATGCAACAAACAAGAGAAATATTAAGAATAAATTACTAATGTTGACTAATGCAAGATTATAAGATATGGCTTGGTAATTACTGGAAAGGTAAATATTGAATAAATCAGTGTATATTGACCTTTGGTTTTGGTATCACGCATATGTCCAACCCCGAAACCTGCACATAACAATTCATTTATATTCAATAAAAATGTTAACGTTAAGTAATTTGTCAAATTAAAGCAAGAACAATAAGAAATGCACCTTCATCACAAGAAAGGGAGAGAAGTTGGTTGAGAAGAAAGGATTTGCCTGAGCGATATGGACCAATAACCTGAGATAGAAATCATGGTTATTAAAAAATAAAGAGAGATTATGATAAGGGACTGATTAAAATGATGCTAATTGACAATTATATTGGGCAATATTACTACAGAACTAAATTTTCATAATGACTTAAAAAGTGTGAAGCCATATCCATTCAAGGATATTATTTGGTGATGAGCAAGAATGATGCAGAATAGATCAGTGATTTAAAAAGGTGCTCGGGCAAGGCGAGGCGAGGCCCGAGCACCTCGCTTCACTTCCAGGCGACGCGCTTCAAAGAGGCGCCGCCTGGGCGCTCGCCCAAGCCCAGGCGCTGGGCGCTTCGGGCGAGCGCCTGGGTTAAACCAGGCGGCCGAACCAGCGTTTTAGGTCTGGTTCGGTCTCCGATGCTTTAGTTGGTTCAATCGAACCAACTAAAGCACCGATATCAGTTGTCGCTGCCCAACCCTAACCCTGCTCGTTGCCGCCCCCGCTCCCGCTGCTCACCGCTGTCGTCGCTCCTGCTCCCGCTGCCTCTTTTCTCAGTCAGCACCCCCTTACACTCCTCTTCCTTCTTCTCCTTCTGTATACTGTTAACAGTATACTAATAATAGTATTTGTATTTATTATATTAATAATATATTATTTTGATTTTGTATTTTAGATTTTCTTAATTTAATAGCATATTTTTATTTAAAATTTTAAATAATTATATTTATTAATTATATTATATATTTTTATATCTTAGCGTCTCGCTTCGCTCGGGCGAGCACCTAGCACCTCAGGTGTTTTTGGATCTTGGCGCCATTTGACGCCTAGCGCTTTTTAAATCACTGAAATAGATTCAAGGAGAGGGATCATGTGAACTTACTGAAGAAGACTCCAACATGATAGGTAGTAAAATAACTTATGAGAGAAGAAATCATAGTTGCAAAATTTGAATCAAGATCGGGATAAGCTGGAGATGAATCAACGGAATTGGTGGGACCAGCAAGACCACATTGGTAGTGTTGGAATTGGCAAAAATATTATTTTAAAATAAAAATATAACTAAAATGTAGGGAAATTAATAAAAAAAATATGACAATAAGTTATCTCTATATAGCAATTATTTCTAAAATCATCCAAAGATAATAAGTTAATTGATTAAATCTATATAATAAGAAGAAATAAGCATTAAAAATACCCAAGAATATACTCGTGATAGAGCCCCAAAATGCTCACATAGTTGAAATGTATAAAATACTGTTCTCATCATGGCCCCTTCCTATCACAGCCATAATCATAAATCACAAAATAAAAAAGAATGAACTTGTGTATGTGAATTTGAGTGAAAAAAGAATGTAACGATGCAATAAGCAGAACTAAAACTTGCATGACCCTATCCTCGCTCACTGTAAATTGTGTGAGACCAAATCTATAAATCTCAAACATCTTATAATTTGCAACGGACTCGAGAGATAAACTTAGTGCTTACTGCGACAGCAGCAATAGGGGTAGTAATTCTTTGAATTGCCTCCAAACCCTCTCTTGCAAGACGCAGTTTAGTATGTTCCGAATCTGGCTCCACAATAGGAAACCTGCAAAACAGGTATCAAGCTAAGACCAAAGATAAAAGAACCGTTGCTCGGTTCCCTACTAAGTCAACCAAAAGGAAAGCTTAAATGTTGAGCAGTATAATCTTCCTTGGTGCAGTAAAATGGACTATTAGGCTTTATTCCCCGAGTTGCATAGGATATACAAAGGACCTAATCATCAAGGTAGTTCGACCAATGTCGTCACTGATCAGCAATAAGATCGAAAGTTCGGAGTCATCATCCCACTCTACATAATGCCCTTGTAATCATGATGGCATTTGCTATAATCGACAGGCACAGTCAGAAATCAGCTAAAATATCTCATCATGCCGCATCAAAACCATTCTTTCCATCGATTCACGCACACTACCCTAACGATTTCGCAAAACGAAAAACCATGAAAACAGATCACACTTACGCTCGGCGGAAATCCTCCGGGCCAGAAGAAGAAGCGGATGCGAAGGACCAAACCAAGATCACCAACCAAAACGCCAAGACCTGCAGGGACGCCTCCATCTCGTTCGTTCAACCTGCCGATCCCGGATCGCATCCAGCGAATCCCACCGAGCTCCCAGATCAGTAGAGCTGCCTCCACGAAAACCTCCAAGAGGAAATATATCCACCGGCTACGGCGGAGGCACCGCTTTCCCCCCTCAGTCTGTAGGTCGCTAAGCGAGTCTGCGATCGAAGGATACGGAAAAGTTTGGGTTGGGGTTTCTTCCGCGAGAGAGGGATGTGATGACGCCTCCGGAGATCGAGAGATCGAGGTAGAGAGATGGAGAGAGAGAAGCATCGAGATTTGAACCGTTCTAATTCCAAATTAACCTTCCACCTGTTGAAACTTGGACTTCATCCAACGGCGATCTGCGCTTCAAGATTAGAGATTCTTACGATGAACGGTTGTAGATGCACCCGCTGCATTCATTTTAGGGCAGTTTCACGTCTCCCTCACAGAAATTACTGTGCAAAGGACTCTGTCGTTACAGCTAATAATTCTGTGCATTAGATGCCCATCACGGTTGACTTGGTCAACCTAACCCTACTGGGAACTTGGAAATCACATTGATAACATGTTCACTATGACAAATTGATTTTGATAGTTTATAGAAGGTAAATTATGTTTTATAATTGTTGAGTAGAAAGTATTTTTTACGGTGAGTCTACCGGTCTAATCTTAATCAAACGGTATAGGAGTATCCAAGAAACTCTTTAAATGATTAAACGAGACGATTGATACGATATAAAGATGACTCGGATGGGGTCTTCGAGTGGCTTCTGAGTATCTGAAGTGACCTCAGGACTAGACCAAGATAGGATCCAACTCTTCGAGTGGCGAGAAGAGTTTCCCGATTTAATCTTTTCGACACTTAAATTATTTTTCAAGACTATATATAATATGGGAGGTTTCGGAAGCGAACTTTTATACCTGATCGATTGAGGAAATCTTTTGTAATAACCTGAACACCCCTCCTTTGGTGTCTTGTCGACAGGGGTAACAGGCTCGAATGATCTCCCATAAACTATTATCCATGAAAACCAATAGAAGGGATAGGCCCGAACAATCTCTCATGCACAACAATTCACAAGAGTCAATAGGATTAGACCGAATGATCTTACAATTTACGAAGATCGACATATCATAACCACCCTCGTATTATTGCTTAGCGAAGGTTGATTTGACTTTTTTTTCGTTTATATAGGTGATCACTTGATGGATTAAAATTAATTATTAAAATATTTTATATCTTGCATTAATTAGCTTAGATGATTTATTTAACTCCAAATCCATCTTTCGTTAATTTATTTATTTAACTCATAAAATGATACTTATCGTCTTTCATAAATCTATGTCAATTTATGTTCGAATATTTGAAGAGAGGTTAATTTTTTTTTTCAAAAGCAATGTAATAAGAACATCAGTAAGTTAGTAATCTGATAAATGTGTTGAATAAACCAAATGTGATTTGGATCTTATTTTCTAATTTTCTTTGTAGAAGTGAAATAAATATGATCGACTAGAATTCAATTCACTATGATAATCTCTATACTTTGCATGATAAAGAACCTCAAATGTGACTGTTATATATGTCTAAGGTTAGAAGAAATAGTCAAATCAACTGAAATAGAATATTTGATTGATATTGTTATATTATAAATCTCAACTCAAATAAATATTTTAGTTGATTGGATTCAAAAACTGAATAAAGACATAAAGTTGTTTTGAACATTCTTATTCTTCTTATTATTTCTTTACAAAATGAGCACAAATAAATGGATGTATAATCAGTAAATAAATAATAAAACCAAGTAAAAACTAAAGAAATAATTCAAGTAAATTAATTCCTTGCAATCAATAAAAGAAAGTTACATGTGCATTATGCGACACATATTTACAATGTACTTTTAAGAAGGTAAAATCATTATATACATGACATTAAAAATCATTATATACAATAACAGGTAAATGCTATTCATCCAAATAGCAGCTTCCCTGATGGCATCAGTGACCGATCAAAGCCAAACGGACGGTCACGATCAAAACCCTACTCCCCTCGTCGCTCCGTATATAAGAGCTGTACTCCCAACCCGTCGTTGGCTTTCTTCCATCGATCTTGAAACCCTAACGCGGGCCTCGCGCAACCCGAGCCCCGGCCGCCACCTTCGTCGTCCAATGGCATCGGCCGCTGTCCGCCCCCTCGTCACCGTGCAGGCCCTCGAGGGCGACATGGCAACCGACGCGCCATCCGCCGTCCCCCTCCCCGACGTCCTCAAGGCCCCGATCCGCCCTGACGTCGTCCGCTTCGTTCATGCGAACCTGTCCAAGAACAGCCGCCAGCCCTACGCCGTCTCCAAGCGCGCTGGCCACCAGACATCCGCCGAGTCCTGGGGCACCGGCCGCGCCGTCTCCCGAATCCCCCGCGTCCCCGGTGGCGGCACCCACCGCGCCGGCCAGGGTGCCTTCGGCAACATGTGCCGTGGCGGGCGTATGTTCGCCCCCACCAAGACCTGGCGCCGCTGGCACCGCCGCGTCAACATCAACATGCGCCGCTTCGCCGTCGCCTCCGCCCTCGCCGCGTCTGCCGTCCCTTCCCTCGTTCTCGCCCGTGGTCACCGCATCGAGTCCGTTCCCGAGCTCCCCCTCGTGGTCTCCGACTCCGTCGAGGGCGTGGAGAAGACTGCCTCCGCCATCAAGATCCTCAAGCAGATCGGTGCCCTCCCCGATGCTGAGAAGGCCAAGGACAGCCAGGGCATTCGCTCCGGGACGGGAAAGATGAGAAACCGTCGCTATATCTCGCGCAAGGGTCCCTTGATCGTCTACGGCACCGAGGGCTCCAAGATCGTTAAGGCTTTCCGTAACATTCCTGGCGTCGATGTGGCCAATGTGGAGCGCCTCAATCTTCTGAAGTTGGCACCGGGAGGCCACATCGGCAGGTTCATCATCTGGACCAAATCCGCCTTTGAGAAGCTGGACTCTGTGTTCGGTACCTTCGACAAGCCATCTGAGAAGAAGAAGGGGTACGTGCTGCCGAGGTCCAAGATGCTGAATGCTGATCTCTCGAGGATTATAAACTCTGATGAGGTGCAGTCGGTGGTGCGACCGATCAAGAAGGAGGTGAACAGGCACACTCTGAAGAAGAACCCGCTGAAGAATCTCTACACCCTTTTGAAGCTGAACCCCTATGCCAAGACCGCCAGGAGGATGGCTCTGCTCGCTGAGGCCCAGCGGGTCAAGGCCAAGAAGGAGAAGCTCGACGAGAAGAGGACCCAGCTCCCCAAGGTACTGCATTTTGCTGTCATTGTAGTGTTCTTGTTTATTCTATATGTGCTAATCAATCTATTTAGCAGTACTTACTTATTATTATTTAATATAGTATCAGATTTTTGCTTCATTTGTTGATAATTGTTGCTCAATACTTTTTGAAAAGATCATTTCTGTGTTTTTTTTCCTTTCATGCTGTTCATCTGCTAGGACCTTGCATTTGGTATGATCTAAAACAGTAGCAAGCTTCTCATCATTAGTTTTGACAATTAAACTACTATTTGACATCAGTGTTTAAGATGAAATTTATGGTCTGGATTAGAATTCGTGCGGCACATATAATGTTTGAAACTCTAAATACGTTTGTTTTTTCAAGCTGTGGTTAATTTCTGTGGAATAGTTCCTTGATTGCAATTATTGTTTGTCATGTCAAATCATGTTATTGTTTGTACAATTTTCTTTACTTAGAAGTTAAAATTGCGTAACATGGTAAGATGTGCAAATACTATTACCCTTTGTTAAAGCATGACCTGTTGTCACCAAGCCCACATGTATTTTCTATTCCAAGACAAATATGGCCACTTGAGGGGTGGAACATTGTATGGGGAGTTATATTTTTGTTTATTCTAAGCTTACTGGCAACTTATTGTTACTAGCAATCAAATGCAAGTATTTAGTGTAACTAGTTTATTTTACATAGTTTATCCTGTCATCAGCATGGCCTAGGATAGTCTTGTGCTTGATGGTGCAAAACCCTAACTTGCAGGGTTAAGATGTTAGCTTCCTGTTCGTAGTTGAAGTCTAATAAACTATACATTAAGTTGTTAGTTGTAAGGTTGAAAGTATAAAGCACGCTAAATTTTCAACGATGGCGTAGAAGCATTATGTACGGTTTCTACTTGACAAAGCGGAGAGGAGTGGATGGAAAGTAGTGTTTCTACTTGACAAAGGTTTGGTTAAGATATTGTTGTCGTAGATGTCATTAATAAATCCTACCCTGTAGCACCAGTGCTAAACCAGAGTGGCATACTCGATTGGGTGATCTTTAAACAATATCTTCTCCGTTTCTAATGTTGAGGCATCCAAGGATGCCTTTGTCAAGGAATATATCTACTCGAACAGGAGAAGGTTCAATAGAAGAGAGTTGCTTGTGGCCCAACCCTTTCTGAGTTGAAGAGTATCGAAGAAATGTTATCTTATTCGGAGAACCTGTGTCCTTTGCAACGCACTAATGTGATTTTTTTTTTAAAAAAAAATTGTTCCAGGAGGAAGCTGCTGCGATCAAGGCTGCTGGTCGGGCGTGGTACAAGACTATGATCTCCGACAGTGACTATGCTGAGTTCGAGAACTTCTCCAAGTGGCTTGGCGTGACACAGTGATCGATCAATGAGTGGTAAGAGGGAATTCTTTTAACCAATTTGGTTCAGGCATTGAGTAAGAACCTTGCATGGACATGTTTATGTTGTCATTTCAGAACCGTGCTTGCTTAGATAAACGAACAAATGTTTTGTTGAATGCAAGGATTGTTTGTGTTCCTATTCTGTTTCTTCTCTCTGCCCATTGCTATTTTGTTACCTGCTAGTGTAGCTGGACTCTGCCTGACGACTGTTTCTACCCATTACCCCCTCTTGATTTTGAAATGAAGTATTAGTAGGAGATTGGTACTTAATTAAACAGTCAGTGTAAGGTTCCCCCAGAAGATTCTCGCTAGGAGAGGCATTGGATTAGATTTAAAGCTCAAAAACATGGGCCATATATCTTATGAATGAAACTTTAGCTCCATATTGTAGCCTTCGAGGCTCAGCTTTTGCTTCCCTGCAGCTTGTTCTGAAGGTTGAGGACGTGTGAATCCATTTGCCATCACATGTGAACAGGTTGTTGGTCCGAAGAAGGCTTAGGACTTTGTACAACTTCAAAGTTGATGATAATGATAGTACAGAAACATCTAATCTTATGAACTTATCATTACCGTGGCATTACTCTGATACAGAACTAAATTGACATTATCCATCAACTTCTAGTTATGATCGTACAGAAACATCATTCTCACATCTGATATATAAACTAAATTGGGATTCCACTCTGCCTTCACCATCGAAATGTTTCATAAAATGATTCTCATCTAATTCTGAAAACTAATTTAATTATCCAAAGTTCTTCTCTTTTCTTTTAGGATGCTCTCTAGAAAACATAGTAGATTGGTCATGTTGCACTTGTTCTATTTATTCATTGTAGTTACGTCTATTTAGTGTTTCATAGATTTAAAAGGCTTATATTTAAATTTTATAGTTATAAAAGTAAAACATTTCACTTCATTTATTCTAACGTTCGTTGGTGTATCGACATAAGCGCGAAAACGATTAGCAAACAAAAAGGGAATTTTAACATTTTAATTATGCTTTCGGTAGTGACAAACGATGGCGTCATTGGAGTTCGCATGTGGTTGTTGTGGATGAGGATAATGCAAATGTCGACATTCTACATTTGTATCGACGTCGCTCGGTAACTACGTCCGCATCAATGTAGATGCAGAGCGATGAAAGGGTTACTCTACATTTGCATCGGCATCGACGCAAATGTAAAACGACGTCACTCTGTATCTGCATCGACCATAATAACAATACGAGGGTGGAGCCACTCTGCATCCGCGTCAACAATGCTTGGCAACTACGTCAAAACTGACAATGTTATGATAAATAAAGTTTTAAGAATCGAAATACTAAAGAGATCTAACTACATAAGATAATATATAATCTTACTCCTGCAACAATTATCCATCACTATCGAAAACATAATCAAAATAACCAAAAATTATCTTTTTGCTTATCGTCGATTTTATACACTTTGGTTGATAAGTGTGACAAAACCTTGCTCAAACCTTGCTCCTGCTACAATCGTTCATGTCAGCCTAATAGCTCTGATTATTGATTATCATGCTGTCAATGAAGCACGTCAATTCTTATTTTAGGATTATCATTGGAGCAACTAATGTTTGACAAGGCAACCTGCATTGGCAACTCACGAATCACCACCCCGTGAAGTAGGATCACCTGTCTCATACTACAATTCTGAGCATCTAAATGATTTGTCTCAGCTTAATGCATTCGCATCTTGCACAGCTATCACCTCACTATACAAGTTCCGAAGGAAGAGGGTAGTGGCGGAAGATTCCGTTGAGCAATAACATAAAACTCAAACTCACGTTTAACGTTCAGACCTCAATATCTCGTTAGCAACACCAAGATGACTTCAAACACGGAAGAGCCTTAAGCAAGAACATGGTTTCTGGAGAGTTTGATGGGTTCCCCCAAACCACCATTATAAAGTAATGAGAAATACCAGGAGACTCATATGCTGCAAAGGTGAGACATACTTTTAAGCCAAGCCATCAACGCCATTTGCAGGCGCTACCTATCAGGACTCCCATCTCCATATGCCACCAATCCATTGTTTGGCGCAGGGCTGCTAGATCTGGAGCTGCTTTGAGACCCTCCCTTATCTTCCATGTCCTGTGGCCCTGCATCAGATTTAAATGCTGATGGATGTGGAGATCTTGACCTTGACCGTCCACTGACGGAGCGGTAGCCACCTCCTTGAGGACCAAGACGAGATTGTATCCTATTGCCTAGCGCTGGCTTCTGGTCATCCAATGGACTACGGCTTCGTCTTGGGCTCTGAGTACGATCCCTACGACGGCTGCGATACCCGACAGGGCTGCGTGACATGCTCCTGCTTCGGTCCCTTCTGCCACGGTATCTAACAAAAAAGATTGATATACAACATTGAATGTAAATCAGATCTGAGGATTATTAGCATGCTTCTATTTTAATTAGACATAACTGGAGTAAAACAAGGTATCCATGACACAAACTAATGGATATATGAAAAACCAAATTTCAAATTGCTCCACATTAAATTACAGGTTCTAGAATATATATATATATATATATATATATATACTATACTATACTATACTATACTATACTATAGAAAGCATGAACTTGCTCTTTAAATTGTGCTGTTGTTGACGGACAGAACCTTGCTATTGCTTCATTCAGCACTTTTAAGAAACCTTAAGGAGAGGAACATTACAATTACGCATTTGATCCATATTACTTACAATGCACTGTTTGTTAAACTAAAAAAACTTCAATACATTTCTTTGGTAACATTTGATGAAAGATATGGCATTGTGTCATATATTCCCCAAAAACACATGCTTGGATAATTAATTGATAATTTAATTTGATCTACTCAGTTGGCAATTCATCTCAATCTACTTGAATTATCATGTAAAGCCTTTACTTTTTAGGCTAAAACTTCATACTTAGAACAATCGACATTAATCCTCTCTAGTTTTCTTTTGTGAATAAGGTCAAGGAAAAAGTATCCAGGTCCAAAGGCCATTAAAATAATTACAGCAATTGTGATAATAGTTTTATGACATTTTTAGTCGTGCCCTGATGATTCTATGACCCCAAGAAACAACTATAAACACCACTAGTTGGACATCAAAGTATAATCTGTATATATAAGCAAAGATATCTAAAAGACAGCAAAAACTACAAGAAGGTAAAAGGACAGGCATGAGGGAGGACCTGGGTGGGCTACTGCCTCTTGGAGAGCCTTGATACCGCCGTGCAGGTGAACGCTCAGAATTGAATGTGCGTCTTGAGTACCTAAGATGAATTTCAGTCAATGTTTACTGAAGATCTATCCAAGCTTCAATTATGTTACATCACTAGTTACCTATTTCTTCCCCATTCTTGTTCATATCTGCCTCTATAATAGTAGGAGCGAACAGGAGAACGCTCTGGAGACGGAGTCCTGTATTTCCGTACATAGGCATACTTATCACTGAATCCACGTCCCTTCCTAATGCGTTTTGGGGGACCACTAGGGGATGGCTTTCTGGACACATCCAGTTGCTTTAAAGCAGGCTCAGAAGCTTTACGCCCAGGACTCCTTGTTGGACTCGCTGAATGGCTTTTGCTTCTACTGATTCCTCCGACTGAACTTTGATTAGCACCACCAATATGTGGAACTCCACTTGGACTTGATGTAGGTCCCTTGTCTGCATGGACCCTAGGACTTCCAATGCGATCTCCCTCCGGTATTATCGGGCTGCTGCTCATGCAATATCGAAATCATTCTTAATCTCTCATATACATCAGAATGTTGACAGAAAAAGAGCAAGCCTGTAAATCAACATGAAGTAGTAACAAGCAAAGGGACGGAACCTGGATCTGCTTGATTTCTCATTTGACTTGGGAGGTTGATTGGCCATTTTGTTAAATTTTCCTATAGAACGATAGGAGTCTTCTGGATCATCTCTAGTTTCTTGAAAAACTAGGCCTGATTCACGTGATGCATTAACCTGAGCAGCTACCCGTTCACTTTTCTTTGTCCTTTCTGTAGCTGATTCTTTTCCTGGGACTATTGAAAGAGATTGTTTCTTTCCTGTTGGAGATGCAACATTACCAGGTTATCAGCAAAAGTACCAACCATATAAAACAGAACATAAGCCAAGAATTATCAGGCAACAGTAAACAGAGAAACTACCATATGTTTAGTTCTCATCAGGTGAAACACAAAAGACATCAAGAAAATGTAATAAATCGTATCAATCAAAAGGTAGTAATAATCAAGAAACTACAATGTTTGTATTTCAGAACTAATCAGCCAATTGATATTCTATAATAGTCATTGCTCCCATAAATGCAGAAGTGTTTACATGAAAGTACCTGGGTCACAATTAGTTCCAAGTATTTTATATACTTACATAGGGATTAGGATATTATTAGTATATAACTAATAATCGAACACTTCCAGTTTTGCACATGCTCTGGTATTTCTTCAGTTCAACCACAGTTTATTTTGGAAAGAGAAAATATAAGAAACAGATGTTCTCTAGAGATAAGTCTTGTTCACTAATATGCCTGAACTCTGTATCAAAAAAATATACAATACGTACACGACACACAGAAACAAATTGTCTTATACCAATTAAGTATATCACCATAATTATCAACAAATTCCTATGTTCATCACTTTTTCTTTCCATGTTCCACTTGCAGATTGCAGGAAAATAAATTATACATAACATATAAAAAAATATTAACAACTAATATATCAGAATGAACAATAGGTACAAAATATAAATAACATAATGAAAGATCATAAATATATTAGAAAAAGTAAATAATATAAGGAGTAAATTGTATAACCTATTACTGAAAATAATAGATTATTGGATACTAAGGGGTCACCTCAACATATAAATAAAAGAGTTATCATATCATTTGAGCATCCAAGCATTTAAACCTACAAGTATCAATTGTACATGTATGCATTCAAATGACCATTTGAACTGCTACTTGCAACATTTGTATTTGCTTGCATTTGTTAATTGCAGGTTTCTACAATTGCAGAAAACCTAGCTTCCTGTAAATACATCTGAAAGGAATGTGAAAAAAGCTGCTAGACGTAGAACAATATGTTACTCGGCAAAAATTTAACCAGTAGCAAAACAAATCACAATTGGGATAAATTCTTAGATAAAAATAACTACTAACATATTTTTGAAAGTTAAACCAACTGAATCGCAGCCGTCTATTAAACACAAAATTTGAGAGAAAGTATAATCAAGAACCTGAAGAAATGATCCAATACCTTTTTTGGAGCTCAAAATGGACATGAACTAATATAAAGGATGACATCCTGCAATTCATATGAACTTTCATATATGTATATATCTACTATGACTGTTGACTGACAACCATGCAAACAAATTTGAAATAAAATTAAATGAATATTTGATATGTAGGTGGAATTTCAGAGGAGAACTACTTACCAACTTCAAGTGATGTATCAGCGGTTTGCAACGAGTGCTTGGCTTTACGAGAATCATCCCGATGGCCAGCTCTTTCAGAGCCAGAGCTACTACTACCGCTGGTAGTTTCACTCTCTGAGTCACTAGAACTTGAGCTCCTATATACGAGGACAATTTAAAGCACATTAATTGTATGTTGTCCACAGCAAACAAATTGCTTAAAAAGTATTAAATCTGACATGAACCAACACACCATTTTGGCTTGCGAGTTGATTTTTTATCATGCCTTCTTTGTCGTTTATCTGTATGATGATCTCTCTTGCCTTTCCCATTCCTATTTTTCTTTTTTCTTGATGTTCTCTTTCTCCTCTTGTATCTAGCACCGCTGGATGAACTAGAATCAGATGAATCAGAGTAAGAACTAGAGCCACTATCAGATGAATAAGAGTCCGAATCAGAATCATCAGAACTAGAAGAATCAGATGATGAATATCTTCTCTTTCTCTTCTTTCTCTTATCTTTAATAGTTCTTTTATGACTTGACCTCTGTTCTCCACCAGAACTGTCATTGGAACAAAGATCTAAGCTGGACTCGTTACATTTTTTCTCTGCAAGAAGTACAACGTATCAGATAAACAACAAACAAAACATGCATACTCCTGGTAACATCTTGCATGCCCCAGCTCTTACCTTTCTCTTTTCCTGGAACAACTTGTGTCTTACCATCAGAAGCTTCACCACAATCTACAACTTTTACAAGGCAAAGAGGTTTCCCTTTCTCAGAACCTGCCTGTTCTATTTTCTTCAGCAGGTTAGATCCACTTACTACCTTTCCGAAAACAACATTTTTGCTGCAAATTTAATTTATCGAGTCAGCATCAAATAAATTAAAAATTATATTTCAGCTTCAATAATATCATGGCCAAATGAAAACTATGAACCTGCATTGGTAAGCAACCTTAATGATGATAAGCTTAATAAGACGAAATAACACACTAACAAAATAACAAAACTGAATCCTTTACATATCTAGACAGCAATTGCAGAAAAAGGAAAGTGTTACCCATCAAGCTGTGGTGTTGCCTTGAAGGTGATGAAAAATTGAGATCCATTTGAGTTGGGTGCAGAGCTTGCCATGGACAAAAGGCCAGGTCCATCATGCTTCAGCTTAAAATTCTCATCTATAAAAGATTCATTGTCATCATAACATCTCTTGTAGTAAGGAAAAAAAAAAGATCGTAAAGCATGGCACCAATCACATAGTTTTTTACTTCCAGCATATACCTGGAAATTTTCTTCCATAAATGCTCTCACCACCACTGCCTGGAAATACCACATATAATTGTGCTTTCAAAGTATATATAGCAAGAAGTCACATGGAAAGTAGAAGCCTGGATATAACAAAGCAATACCATCTCGCCTTGAGAAATCACCTCCCTGTTGCATAAAGTTCGATAATCATCATTTTCCACTGATGGTGAAATCCAGAAGACACAAACATGTTATTCCAAGGAAATATGTGTGGTGTTGAATGCTATATAATTTCCACAATGCCAAAAAGACTCCAACTAAGTTTCAGCAGTGTACTGCGCTGTCGGACAAAAGTGAAAAGTGTCTGTAATTCAAGTCAGCATGGCAAGGAATGACGTAAATTTACATACTTGAGCAACAAATCCTTTTACAATGCGATGAAAGAATGATCCCTTGTAATGCAGTGGCAATCGTGTAGAATCTCCAATGCCTTTTTCCCCTAGACAAAAGCCACATCTTAGGCCTTCTATTCAAGATTAGAGAATCTCTTAAGTAGAGCAAAAAGAAGCCAAAAAACAAATTTCTAATGCTAACAGTAAAATAAGACCATGTAACAACTGCAACTTAGAAAGCTAATCGTATGCCAAGCTCATCAGTACACTGACCAAAGTTACACTAGTGCATGATATGCATCATGCCTAAGAAAGAACATGTACCAAATGGATGCAATTACCACCATACCATGAGCACTGTGATATATTATCCATGTCATACAACATTACAACAGAACAAAGTCTCTCTCTCAACACATGATCATCCTTTTTACTAGATATGCATTGACAATTTATACTGCTAGTCTGTGAGCTTGGCATATCTCACTACATACTGTATCATTTAGTGCCTACTGGACAATGAGCAGAGGACAGCATAAACACTTCATAACAGGCAACAACACAAGACACCTTGTTATAATATCATTGGTAAAGGTGCTGGTTTAACACAACATCATCAATAAACCTCTGGTGACCCTGTGCACGCACCAAAGACATGGGATTGTTGACAAGTGATTTTTCATATAAATATGCACAATTTTGACATATATCTGGAAGTAACATGCGAAATACAATCACCCTTATTTTTTAGTAACATTTTTTTTCTTTTTAGGTGGAAACTCTGCTCTCCAATTGGATCCTGAACCCAATCCCAGCTTTTAACATCTTAATCTATTATGATAAGCATGTGAAGCTACAACCACAATCATTATATCTTTTAAAGACACAACCTACCCCAAATCCTATTCACTGACTTAAACCTGACTGCTCTTCCTAGAAATATAAAGGGTCCAACTAGATGCTAAACAAGACTACAAGAACTCTTTCCATATAGGACTGTAAGGATGAAATCAACGGTAATTTTTTAGCACTTTACTCTGTTATCGAACAAGAGAACATGTCTTGATGCTTGAGTAAACATGCTAACAACCTTGGTCATATTTAAAGCAGCAGAACTAATGAATAAATTATTATAATCATTTGGAATCACGTGATGAAGTGATTAAAGAAAATATTTTATTTTCACTGAGACATCTCTCACCAGTAATGTGCCATAGTGAAAATGTTAAATCAAGATTTTAAATCTTGGTCTGATATCCGCTTTGGAAATCAATTAGATTGGTATGCTGCTCCGTATTTTTGGATGATATACCAACTTGTACTGCTCGATATCAATGTGAAAAATATGAAAGGTTAAATACTGACTGATGCTGACCTATATGATTTCGTACCAATCCTTGGTCAGACTAGTAAAAAATGGTCTATATGTCCCAGTCTGATAGGTTTTTGAAACCCTGGTAATGACCATATGTTTGACCAGTGATTTAAAAATGATTTAAAAAGCGCTAAGCGTCAAAAGGTGCCAAGGTCCTAAAATGCTCGAGGCACTAAGCGCTCGCCCAAGAGAAACGAGACGCTCTGAAATATAAAAATATAAAAATATATAATATAATTAATAAATATGATTATATAAATAAAAATACAACATTAAACTACTGTTAACAATAGTTAGAGGGGGAGAAAAAGTCACCGATAGTGGAACTTTTGGACGACAATGACGGTGGAGGAGGAAGCTGCGAACAACAGTAACGACGACAACAATGGCAACGGCAGAGGCTACAGATGGTAGTAGCGGTAATAATGACAACGACAAAAGCTACAGACGGCAGCAACAATAGCGACGGAAGCCGCAGACAACGACATCGTGAGCGGAGGAAGCTTCAGAGGTGTCCGTCGGGGGCGGACGAAGCTGCGATCCTCTCCCTCGACGATGGAAGGAGCTGCAGACAGAAGCAACAACAACAGAAGGAAGCTGCGGACAAAGGCTAGGCCGTCGGACCTGCCCATCGACGATAGAGGAAGCCTCGGTCCACTGTTTGCGGCGGAGGCAACGACAGAAAACGTCGACATCAAAGGCTGAAGTTGCGGTAGGGTTGATGGCTAGGGGTCACGCAAGGGTGCGGGGGTTGGCTTTTGCGAGCAGGAAAGTGGCTAGTTGGTTCGATCGAACCAACTAGCCATTGTTGAACCGAATCAAACTTAAAAGTCTGGTTTGATTGCTTGATTTGAACTGGGTACTCGCCCAAGGCGCCCGGCACCTGGGTTTAGGCAAGCGCCCAAGCGGCGCCTCACTGAAGCATGCCGCCTGGTCCACCCTTGAGGCACTCGGACCTTGCCTCGCCTCGCCCGAACGCCTATTTAAACCACTGTGTTTGACTAAGACATAAAAAGCACTAACTTGGCATTCCTTTGAAACAACACAAGCTACTATTCCAAATCAGACCAACAGGTACGACATTGTTTACACACCTCAATGTGGTTGGTTTGGACCATCCTTGACCAGAACCAGATTTGTCAACGTATATAAGCAAATGGAGACGGCTGTTTGATATAAAACATACATATCCTTAAGAATTTGTGTCAAGCAGAATAACTTTCAAAATATCATCTCCAAGTTTCTAATAGTGGGAACCATAATCAGGAATAAACCTATTTTCCCCATACTTATTCCATTTTTGTTTTCAGTACCATCATGCTTTATGTCAAAGAATGCCACCTAAAAATGATGAGCTAAGAGCTGTGGATGATACTTCAATGCCTCATAGAGCAACAAGTTGAAGAAATTAACTAAAATTTATCGACCAGCCTAACAGATAATTACATTTTGATGCTTAAAATTGTTCATATACTAAACATTATCAGCATATATGTATGCATCACAGATACATTGACATATGCACTAAAATCTGTTGAAAAAGATAGTTAAGTCTTTTTATTCTAGACGAGGCAGATGGTATCGGAAATGTACCAGTGCAAAGTGCTCGAAAATTCTCTGCAGTCTTTGGAACTACATCAGCAAAAAGCTGTCAACACAAGTGGAAAAAAGTAGTAAGACACAATGCCACCGTCAAAAGTAAAGACACGGAAAGTTGAAAATCAAGTATCCTTCTGGAAGAGAAGTAATACTTGGTTCAGTAAAATACCTCTATCTCCATTCTCTCAGCAGGGTTTCTGTCCACTGAAATGTCCAAAAAAACTGTGGGATTCTTCTTCGTGGCCATCTTCTCTTAGTCCAAAATGCTGCATTAATTGAAAAAAAAAAAGAACATTTCTTTCGAACTTGAAGTAAAGAAAGAATTGTCACTGTCTTCAATTCCTGTAATTTACTTGATGAATTTTCAAATTACAGGATCAAAATGGCAACCTTTGCTCATGGACCACTTGACAGATACTAATTATGGAACATCTATTTTTCTAATTATAAAAAAGTGAATCAGTCAATCAATCCAGTAGGAACGTCTACCAGAGTAGAAGCATATACTAACAGAATATGACAGAGCATCTAAATCATTAAAGATCAAATTTGATGAGATATAGCACTTCAGTTTTAGCCAAGAACAATACGTAACGAGGCATATTTGCATTTATTTTCCGGCTCTAGTCAATTTCTGAAAGCTTCAATTGTGAACTAGATATAACCAAACCTACGTTGAAATAGGTTATTCCGCGCTCCTTCATTTTTTTCTCTTTTTTGCACTAATATTTGGTAAATTTTATTTCCTACCCTTTTTGCTGGTTCTCACCAGAAGGAAAAACATTACTCATCCAGGATATAGTGGAAGCTCATGTTCGAAGAGTCATGCAATATATATGTTATAAAATTATAATCAACCTTATTAAGACCCAAGGGGAAGGACACCCACCACATAGAGCTAACTAAACCCACAATGGGGAGTAAAGTTTTTCTCTAAGTTTGAAATGGACATTTCCTGTTCATAAGCTTTCTAAAAGCTGAAGACAGCTTTCATATAAGCAGTTACCTTGAAGATTCAAGAATACAACAAGGTTACATGTCGGATCTTTTTATTCAAAGAAAAACAAGTACATGTACATATGTGAAAATTAAACACAAGGAATCACAAACAGAGAAAAATAGGTACATAGTCACAAAATAGGATAGACAAAATTCTTCGGAAACTATACATCAAAAGCCACGTCTAGAGCAGTAACTTATGCCTCAAGAAGTCGCGATGCATTTGCATCGATTAACACAACAAGAATAGAAACTATCAAAAAGTACTTCTACTTTCCAAATACAATGCTGGAATTTGGAATTTCTTGGTTTCATCGATGCATCACAGGAGATGCACCCATGCTAAGGAAGAAATCTTTCTCGCTCGTGATGCAAGAATTTACGCGAATCAAACCCCGAGGAGTTGTATTGGATCAGAAGAAATACGAAATCTTGGGAGTTTGCATCAGATAAGAGACATAATTATAAGTTTTGACAGGAACCACAGAAGATCAATCAACAACATCTCGATCTAAAACCTCGATAGATAAAACAAAAGACGAAATGACATGATTTAATCGCGCTTCAGAACAAAGAGAGAAGGAGGGCGAAGGCTTACCGGCCGAGGGTTTTCTCTTCTTGGGGCTTGCGATTGAGAGACGCGCCTTCGAAGCGGTGGTAGTTTAGGGTTTTACTTGATAACGGGTCGGTTGTCTCGTTGAGACCCGAAAAGTAGAATCCGATAACTAATTACCCAATTGGGCCAACTGGGCTTCCTGTCATCGGATCAAGCTATACTACATATAAAGTAGTTAAATAATCTTTTTTTCTATAAATAAAAATGCTATACTCATAATATTGGTTTTGTTTGCTTTAATTATTTACATAAATTAGTTTTTTTTCATATAATTAGAGTAAATTAATTGCCCATTATTGGCATGGAGATTCAACTAAAGAAATTAATGGTGTTATATTTGTTACGAAAAAATATGATTCATGTGGTTCGGATCCATGTGCGAAGGGTTGTTCGAGGTACCTTTGAGGTGAAAATGTCAAGCTCCCGGGGGGGTAATCCGAGATGTTACCTGTACGAAAATCAAGATCGAGAGAGCTTTTCCGAGCTGATCCCATAAGTTGGTATCCTATAGTAGATTAGTGTAGTTCCCAATGGTAAAAAATGTGATCACTTGAATATGTTAAAAGTAAAATTCTATACCTAGTAGTGTTTTATCATTGGTATTATATATTCAATCAGTATGGATGAAGGTAGGAAGATGAACTAATGAGAATCATTTAAAATATCATACGATACGTTTTTGGTGCATACCAATGCGTAGTGGACAATCAGTATATAAATCATGATATTTTTTTAATTATAAATAAAATATCTGAAACAAGTACTTGTCAGTACTATATGAGATTTATAGTAATATTGTCATAATATAATTTGAGTGACTTAGCGGAGAAGAGTGGGATGACAACTTGGCATTCTACGTATTCATCTTTAATAATAGATATCAAATGTATTTTTTTGAAATAAAAAAATAAAAAATATGAACATTGCTTCCGAAAATAACTTAAAATCTATAGGTTTTTATTGGAGAATCGACTTGTCAATTAGTTAATCTCCGTAGAATTATTATCTATGATGAAAATGACATCCACACACACATCTTTTTTATTATCGTAGGAATAAAGAGGCATTCATTATTGTAGGAATAAAGATGTATCATATTTAAAGTTTATGAATTTGACTGACTAAAAAATAAGCCAAGTTCTGCATAGCAGGCTCTTAGAGCTTAACAAAGTTTATAAATAATTTTTCATAGTTTACAAACATGATTTATATATTGAGAATATATGAAGTGAAAGGATAACTATATATATATATGAGTAATAGTCGAACTTAAGATGAGTCAAATTATTAGTGATTTAACAATTAAACTGAATGTCTTCGTAAAATCAACACATTGTTATTGGTGAAGTCCTTTGGCCATTAGACTAGCTTTCTATTTGGTAATAGATCAATCTACGTTCGATACTTAATTCGAACGATTCACTTGAATCATATGACATTGTATTTGGTATGACATTCTAGAGAACATCGTAACTTTGTATTAATGTGAAGATTTTTGTGCTAATGTGATATTGGATTTAGCGTGATTTGAAAATATTATTTTTGGAATGTATTGTCATATGGATTATATTAAAAATATAAAAAATATTATTTTATATTTATCTCTATTCTCATCTTTTTATCACTCTCTTCGTCGAAGTCATTATTAGAAGCCTAAGAAGAGTTCAAGAGGAGCTCAAACCCTACCTGATGCACAAAGGTACGTAATATGTCGACATGTAGAAGCTATTACACAGCATATATTCGTTAGTCTTATGTCCTCCATGCATATATTTGACAGTCATTTGTATGACCGTCGTCAACCCTTCGGTGATGGACTCCGCCCTGCAGCCTGCAACCCTAATGCCCCCTATCTATATACATAGCAGTACTGGAAGGCTGTAACCCTAAACCCTTACACACAAAACCTGTATGACAGCTGTTCTCTCTCTCACTCCCTCTTCCTCTAGTCTCATCTTACTTTTAGCTTTGGCTTAGATGTCCCTTAGGTGGGGAGGGAGGGCGGGGGATCTTTACTTGCACCCACCAACCCATCACTTGAGTCTTCCCTCTATAAATCCAGTCGGTGGGTCTTAAGAGCGTGACATATTCCTATCAACTTCCTCCACAAGGAAATGATGCTTCTTTACCTTTGTTGTTTGATGCTTCTTCTTGGTTTCTCCTCTCTTCTGCATTCTCTCTGTAGCTGGTAATTCTTTTTCTGACTCTTAAGCTTTTCATCGCTTTGATCTTTCTTTCTGTTTTCTTCTTGACCCTTTGGAGCTATAATATTTTCATCAGATTAAGATCATTGAGACGTGCCCAGGGGAATGAGTGAAGCTGCCAGCATGATCTAACTTTGAATGACTTGGTGTGTTCATCAAGGGTTAGTCATTGCTAGGTCATGCTGCGACAGCTTCACTTCTTCCCCATCGACAGGCATAGCAATCTCCTACATGAGATATAGGACAAGACAAGATGGAGACAATGTAAGTATAAGAACCTCTTCACCTGCTCACTTCACAAGAACAATGTATAGATGTGTGATTAGATGAGGTCTTCACGGTTCTCTCTCGTGAGACAACATGGATGTCTGTTAAGTGTATCCTTTACGAGGTAAAAGAGGCAGTATGTGTCGTGTATTCATTTGACATCATTAAGGCAAACATTACATACATGTATAAAGTCACCAGATGTCGACAATGTTTAGCTACTATGGCTTTTCTCCCCTAACTAAGCCTTGTCATGGCCATGTCTTTGGTTCTGAAACTACAACTCTTAATTCCTCAGTCAGTATACATTGCATACCAAACTAATATAGCTCATTTCTTCGAGTTTCCTCTCCCCATCTTCTTCCTCCCCCAGTCGCCACAGCCACCTAAGAAGGTGCCACCATGCGATGGTGTGGGTGCACCATCCTCTCTCTCTCTCTCTCTCTCTCTCTCTCTCTCTCTCTCTCTCTCTCTCTTTCTCTTTGTGTGCGATGGTGTGGGTGCACCATAAGAACCTGAAGCTGCCACCGTCATCTGAATCAAGCACCAAAATCTCTGTTTTCCAGATGTTGGTTCGTCTGCCATGGGTGCATCGAAGAACAAGGTCTATATCGTGGGGATGGCTATGGGTTTCGCAGTCTGTTCCTTTGTTACGCCAACCGCGCCCTCCAACGTAGACGAGAAGGGCTACAGTCGCTTTCGGCCACTTCGCCGCCGTCCAATCGAACGCCTCAAAACATCCTCGCCGTTCTCGCCGCCGTAGCTCATTGTAACGACGGCTTGTCGGGAGGAGGCAGCTTGGCAGTTGCTTTTACGTACCAATCTATCCATAGAGCGTAATATGACGAAAACAATGAGGGCATGATCGGAAGCAAGGAGATTAAGGGTGCACGGCAGTCCATGTCTCTTTGTGCTAAAGACATAAAGCACCACCACCTTCACTAAGAGCAGAGAACGACTACTCAAACATTAGAGCTAACAGATGAGTATGACATCGAATTTAAATCATGCCTTTACACAAATCTAAGAGAGTGGAACGACTACAAATGATAGATGTAGTATCACATCACATTTTTGGGGGCCGATCATTCTGAGAAGGTCTAATTAATCACAATCAGATGAATACAATAATGTAAATGTCTGGCAATCTTTTGCTAACAGTAAAAGCATTTTACCTGAGAAACTATTAAACGCAAACATACAAGAGAACAGAAATGATAAACCATATGATATAATTAGTTCGGTCTTAGAGAATACAATGGAATGTACCATCAGTTTCTCACTACTCACTTCTAAAAGAAAGATAGATATGGACCCTCTGGGACAAGCCCTAGAACAAGACCGGCAACTAAGACTGAGGTCGAAGTCTACACCCTGTTGTATGCCACTGATTTGTTGAATAGGCGTCGGATGTACACAACCTGAAGCCCACTTGCACAAGCCAGCACCAAGTACTCGGTCAATGTGTAGACGGTAAGGCGCCTTCTGGTGCTCTCATTTGCTGCGTTGAAAGATATAATTAGACAACTAGGATAACTACCAAGCACTCACTTGCACTATGGAATTATCGTCTCTGAGATTCCAACTATTTATTTACAGCAAGTGATAACAAAAGCCTCTTTCATTTCAAGTCGAAATGGAAAAAATGACTTAAAATTTGCAATATAGATAAAACTGGTCAATCAACTATCGCTGACCATCAAATGAAAAGTTCTTTCAAGAACCCACAAACGATCAAAATCCAAAGAGAAATAATAAGTTGGAAGCATACAGAAAGAACGTTACTACTGTCTGTTAACAAAGATGAACTATGCATCCTGCGGAGTGTGGACCACTAAAGTCCCAAAAGAAGCATATATTTCATTGTTCATGTGTGGTAGTAGTGTTTCCCTTTTTTATTTTCACCCATTTCTCTAAATGGATCTTTGGTCCTCTTGAATATTATCTGACCTTTCTAACATATCTTTAAGCTCTGTGCTTTTAGTAGAAGTAAAATGAAAGTGAGTGGATTTTCATATTCCTCTTGAGTTGAACTGTGTTCATTTCTGAATTATTCCTACATAACAAGAAAAAGAAGTCCCCAAAAAGAAAACATAACACTGTCTAAAAGAAAGAACTCCAGAAAACTAACAAAAGTATCCTATTTAAGAAAATTGAAAGCCAACAATGAAGACAAAAAGTGGAGGAAAGAGCATGTATTTGGTGAATCTTGAATGTTCACTAACAGGATAGGAAACTGATGCCTAAAAAACAATAAAGCCGGAAAGGCAAAAACAAACACTTCAAAAAAAACAATGAACACTTATAAACCGCCCCCCAAACCCCACCATAAACACACACACATCCCAAAACCCCACAAGAAAAAAAAAAGAATGATCTGAAAGAAAGAATAAGCATTTTCACATCAGATGAGCTGCAAAAGGAGCAAAAAGGTAGAGCATTACTTTCTTGTTACAACCAAGTAGATACTTTTGCTTTTAAGATCCTTTGATATAACATGCTTCTACCTCTTAACTCAGTCACGGAGGAGATCAGGAATGAGAAGTACA